TTTGTTTACTTTTGCTTTTATTTCTATTGCCTGGGTAGACTGTCTTAGGAGAATATTGCTAAATTTATGTCAGAAAATGTTTTGCCTATTTTTTCTTCTAGGAGATTTATAGTGTCTTGTCTTATATTTAATTCTCGAAGCCATTTTGAGTTTATTTTGTGTATGGTATAAAGGAGTGTTCTAACTTCGTTGATTTACATGCTGCTGTCCAGTTTTCCCAACAACACTTGCTGGAGACTGTCTTTTCTCCACTGTATATTCTTGCCTCCTTTGTCAAAGATTAATTGACTGCAGGTCCGTGGGTTTATTTCTGGGCTCTCTATTTTGTCCCACTGATCCATATGTCTGTTTTTGTGTCAGTACCATGCTGTTTTGATTACTGTAGCTCTGTAGTGTTGTCTGAAGTCTGGGAGGGTTATTCTTCCAGCTTTGTTCTTTGTCTTCAATATTGCTTTGGCAATTCTGGATCTCCTGTGCGTCCATACAAATTTTAGGATTATTTGTTCTAGTTCTGTGAAAAATGTCCTGGGTGATTCAATAGGGATTGCAATAAATCTGTAGATTGCCTTGGGCAGTATGGACATTTTAATTCTTGCAATCCAAGAGCATGGGCTATCTTTCCAGTTCTTTAAGTCATCTTTAATTTCCTTAATCAATGTTTTGTAGTTCTCCATGTATAAGTCTTTCACCTCCTTGATTTGATTTATTCCAAAGTATTTTATTGTTTTAAATGCAATTTTAAAAGGGATTGTTTCTTTACTCTTTCTTTCTGATGTTTAATTGTTTGTGTAAAAAAATGCAACTGATTTCTGTATGTTAATCTTGTATCCTGCTACCTTGCTGAATTCTTTTATCAGCTCTAGTAGTTTTTGTGTGGAGCTTTTCTATATATATAGTGTCATGTTATCCACATATAGTGACAATTTTACCTCTCCTCTTCCAGTTCTTTTTTTTCTTTTTCTTGCCTGCTTGCTGTGGCTAGGATTTCCAATACTGTGTTGAGTAGAAGTGGTGAGAGTGGGCATCCTTGTCTTGTTCCAGATTTTAGTAAGAAGTCTTTCAGTTTTTTACCGTTGAGTACTATGCTGGCTGTGGGTCTGTCATAAACAGCTTTTATTATGTTGAGATATGTGCCCTCTGTACCCACTTTGGTAAGAGTCTTGATCATGTCATCTACAAATAGAGATAGGCTTACATCTTCCATTCAGTTTTACTGAACACCCTCCATTTATTTTTCTTGCCTAATTGCCCTGGATAGAACCTCCAGTACAGTGTTGAACAGTAGTGGCACAAGTGGACGTCCTTGTCTTGTTCCTCGTCTTAGGGAGAATGTTCCCCGTTAAGTATCTTTGACGATTAAGTACCATGGTAGCTACAGGTTTTTCACAGATGCCGAATATTGAGTTGAGGAAGTTTTCTTTCATTCCTAACTTATTGAGCATTTTTATCATGAAGAGTTATTGGCTGTTGTCAGATGCTTTTTCTGTGACTCTTGAGATTCAGTGATTATGTGGTTTTTGTCCTTTATTTGTGTATCTGTTTTATTGTCTGTAAGATTTTATTCCGCCTTGTTTTGCTGCTTATTTGATGTTTCTTTAAAACTGTTATGAGAAAGAGGGGAGACATAAAACCTTCTGCATGTATTTCTGGGTAAGGAATGGGTATTGAATCTATTTCTCAGTTCTTTAAATCTTAGCATAACAGAGGAAATCCCTGTAACTTACAGGGTGAATAGACTGCCTAAAGGTTTTGTTTTATTTAATCCACAATGTTGTCATGGCCAGTTCGCAGTTTAATTAAGAGGAGCTGCCATCAAGTCCCGCACCCAGCCCAATGCCGTAGTCCTAAAGAGCTCCCGGAAAACATTGACTTGATGCTGAAGAGCTATTGCTTCCTAAAAGTCAGCAGCACCCCTTGAAACACATGTAACAAAGAGATCCTTGCTGACATCCACCTTCCTGTCCCCTGGTTTTAGTACACTTGCCTCTTGGTATGAGGACTGTGTTCCTCAAAGATGACTTTTACTGACTCAAAGTATCAGGTGGAGTAGGATGGTATAAATGTGACAGTGTTAAAGATTTTGGCCTCTTAAAAGAATAATAAGAACGTTCTTCTCCCCCATGGGGAAAATTTGAAAATATGGTAAAATAGAAAGAAGGAAAAGGTAATCACCCATAATCTTACCTGAGACTGTTCATTAGTGGTGTTCATCTTCTTAGAATTCTTCCCTTGCATGTTTTCCTGATAACTTTGAAATCAGGCTATACATACAATTTCATGACCTGCTGCCCTGCTACTTTAACATTAGAGGATAAGCATTTTCTGTGTTATAACAAATTCTAGGTAAATACTAACTTTAAAGACTCCACCTACTAGAATTTGGTTACTCATTACCCTATTGATGGACATCAGATGGTCTGCAATTTTGGCTTTCACAAAAATACTGTTTTTCTTACAGCCTTATTTTAGGGACTAGATTTGGAGCATGGTTTGTTTTGTATCAATGTTTGTGTTTAAAAGCTAAGTGGTCTGTGTACTTTCTGCAGCCTCGGAATTGGAGGAAATCTAGTGACTCCTGGTTGTCGCTTAAATAATCTGTGCTATTGTCTGTCATCTGTGAAGTTAACCAGACAAATCCCCTCACAAAAACAGCATTACCCCAGAAATTGACCATAATAAAAATATTTCTAAGCCTGGGATAATGACCCACATTTACAGCGAGTTGTTGATTTCATTAGAAGGAAGTCCACTGCTGCGAATAGTTGACAATGAAGGCCTTTTCCCTCCTCCTTGTCTGCATGGTGAGCACAGCACAGATGCTCTGTTGTTCCCACAGCCACGGCCACAGCCACGGCCACGAGGGCAAATGAGAACTGTAACTTGTGACCTAGAAGGCATTTTGGGTTTTCTTCGGAAATAAAAAGAAAGTGAAAATCGTCTAAATTAGGTAAGGCAATTCGTCCAAATAAGGAAAAGGAAATATGTCCAAATTTCTTTGCTGTTTCAAATTAAGCAAATAGAAAGCTAAATCCTTTCTGGGGATCTCCTTATGCTTTATCCTTTTGTGTTCTCTTAGAAGGGGCCTGGACAGTTGAAGAAAGCCTCATAGCACAGCTCTATTTATAACCGTGAAATTTTTAGTCAGAGGCAGGAGGAAAAAATGTGGCCCCCATTGCTCCCCATGGTTGCTACTAACCTGTCCTCACAGATGGCCATATACGGCATGCAGTCCCCCAGTCATTACAGCTGAGCCAACTCAGAGCAGCTGGCTTAATGCTTTCCCACCTCACTGCTGTAAACAGAGCAGAGCCAGGGTGGTAAAGACCAGAGGGAACTGTGGCTGAGGGCCGAGTTAACTGAAGGACTTGATGGTCCAGAAGTAAAGTTTCCTTGTCCTTTTATTCCTTGTCCTTTCCTCCCTTTCCTCCCTTTCCCCATGTCCTGGGACTGCCATTCTGTTACGTTCTCTGTCCACTGGGGTGAAGCATCATCCCGCCGCTCTCTGGCTAACCTGAGCTCTCTGCAGAACCCACCCAGGGCTGCCCCACGCCCTTAGGTTTCCATGTTCTACAACCATCCTTCACCTTTCTCCCAGCAAAACACAGGTTACTCGTGGACTTGGTGTTAGGAACGTGATCTGATGAATTCATCTTACAACTCAATGCTGAAATGAAAATATAGCATTTTCAATGCTTTGCCTCATTGGCTCACATGACCTTTTTTGTCTCTTTCTCATGGTCATGTCTTTTGGATGTTAAAAAGTACTTTCTCCTTTCTAGTAATCTGATTTTAAAGGCAGTCACACGTGTATTCTTAGCTTCTAATGAATTTCAGAATCAGTGTCCAGGGCCATTATCTTTGCTTTCCAGAAAACCCAATGGAAGTCTCATAGCATTGGTATTCTGGAATCTTCTTCAGGTTTGCCTATTTCTTGATATTAGGAATTGGGATAAGGTCAATATTTAGCTCTTAAGATTAGAGTGGCTTAAAGCTGTGTGATACTCTCACCTAAAAGTGAGCTGTAAAGGAGTGAAAAACAAAGACTGCGGACCTGACCCCTCTCTCTCTCTAAGGAGGGGAGAGGAGCTGCAGATTCCTTCCATTCAAGGCATATTTTTTCCCATTTAATAAGTCATTTATTTGTGCATAGTAATGAAATAGCACAATAGTAGTTATACCTACAGTCAAATGCATCCAACTGACTCTATGATAAATACTATCAACTTCTGACCCTAAATTGTTTTTACTTAATCTTTCGTGTCTTGTTGCTCATACATATAGTCATTATGTTACAACTTAAAAGCTTGGAACAAGTCTGCCTTGTAGTGAGTAGATGGTACTGAGTCAGTGTGGTTTGTGCAGAAACATCTTCTGGCCTGTGGAAGAAGAAAAGGGATCTTTATCACAGTAAATGGGATATTGCGGGAGCGTTCTCAGGAAGGTATATAAGACAAATCCTGTCTGGGTGGTATTTTTAAAAGGAATTTCCATGCTGCCTCAATTTCCCTCAGCAGATGAGAATCGCCTTCTATGTGCCCACCATACTTTATAGAAATGTTGTCATTGTCAGCTTGTCTGTCTCCTTACTGAATTTCAACCTCTTCACAGCAGGGTCTGTTGCGAGCGCCCAGCACAATGAGGCTGCTCACTCTCAGGACCAAAATCCTCCCTGATTTGGTCCTGAGCCCTCTGATCTGTGAGCCACTCTGGCCTGGAAGTGAAACATATGGTGCCAGAAACAGCCCAGGCTGTACCAGGATGGGAGGTGGTGTGGTCTTCAAATGAGACCATGGCCGTCTTCTTAAGAGGAAGCTCATTTGGATATACTTAATACATGTGTCTCTCTGAATAGAAGAAAAGCAGCCTTAGAACACCTATTTGAATTTCTAGCCCAGTTCCAAGGAAAGGGAGCCCACATTTAGATGCCCATTTGGGCCCCAAGAATGGAATTTAAGCCACAGTGTGAAAGAAGATCATGAGGTGGCATTACTTTCTTCCAGGTCCTGTATTTAATGCCTCTGTGCACTCGGACACACCATCGGTCGTCCGGGGAGATCTGATCAAGCTGTTCTGTATCATCACTGTTGAAGGAGCAGCCCTGGACCCAGGTACTTCTCTCTGTCCTTCCCCTTCCCTTCTTGCTTTGTGTAAGTGTCTCTTCTTATCATCCCCACTATGTTGTTACCCGGATGTGGAGATGTCTGCTTATCCCCAAACTGCCTAGCTCAGTACTTTGTATTCACTAGGTGTCTAATAAGGGCTTATTGAATGGATGGAACAGTTGGTGAGATCATTTGGAAACAGCCAGACCTTTGAATCTGTGTGATCAAGACAATCTAGTGGCCACTTTAGGGGTTGATTCAAGCTGGTTTGCAACCACTGGCAGAGTCCAGCTCCCTCCCTTTTTTGTGTTTTGTTTATTCATTCAGATAGCTCTTGAACCCCTGTAAACAGGTGCTGGTCCAGATGCTGGGAATAGAGGCGTGATCAAAACACCCAAGCCTGTCCTCATGGCGCTGGCAGTGTAGCTAAGGAGACAGAAAAGCAGGAAACCATCATATGATGTAGTATCAGATAGCGATTAAGTCTCTGAAGAAGTAGTGAGCAGAGCAAACGAGTCAGCAAGTAACCAGGGCATGCTGTTGTAGTTTAACTTCCCAGGAAACCTTTGTAAATCTTTTCTTTGCAGAAAATGTTAGTCCTCCCAGCAGGATGTCTGAGGGCCCAGGACCAGTGGTCCTTCTTTTTCTGCTTGGGCCCCTCAGTGCCAGTTGGTGTTTCACTCATGGACCCTCAGGGTTTGAAAGGACGTTAGATGCAATTGGGTGTCTCTGTTGCTGAGCAGGACTGTCCCCACCTCCGCCTTCTCCCAAAGAGCCCATGGAGACCCTGACCCACTGCCCGTCTCTCTTCTGTGTGCTGTGACCTGGGGCCCCTTTGTACCGCACACCCCATCACAGGCAGAGCCGTGGCCTCGCACAGATCTGCGCCCTGAGAAGGCCAGATTGTATGGGGTTCACTAAGTTCTGTGGCCCGAGGTGGAAACTGGACGCGGGTCTTCATTCTGAGTTAAAGGGCAGGTTATCGGGGAAGTGAGAGTGGGCTGCGGTGGACCCAGTGTGACGAGCACGAGCAGTGTGACTAGCACTAGCACGTCCCCTGAGGTCTGGCTCCCGTGGGGCCCCCGGTTGGAGGTTCAGGTGGCGGCCAGTTCAGGGTCGGCAGACCTTTTGTGTAAAGGACCCAGGGAGGAGGTATTTCGGCTCTCTGGGCCGGGTGGTCTCTGGGCAGCTGCTCCACTCTTGTTGTGGAGCGAAACCAGCCGCCAAAGAGAATAATCTAAACAAATGGGCCCGGCTGTGTTCCAGGGGAGCTGTACTTACAGGAACAGGTGGTGGGCTGGGCTGACCTGCAGGCTACACTGTGTCCGGACCCCTGGACTAGTTGACTGACACCGAAAGGGACTCTGGTGGGGAACCGGGCTGTGGTTGAGCTCTCGAGGGGGGAACAAGGAGGAGGGTTTGTGGAAGACGTAAGAAAAGGGAAAGAGAGAAACCCATCCAGACCAGCCGTGTGGTCAGCTCTGTCCTCTTGGGTAAGGAAGGAGGAACCGAGGCCTTCAGTGAGCTGCTGGTCCTGTGGAGACGCCAGGAAGGGGTCGGGGGGGATCCTTTTTAAAAATTGGAGTAATGCAATGCCCTTTTCACCTGTAAAGCTCATGTATAGAGATGTACACAAGTAAATCATTTAAATGTCCTTTCTCAGTAAATTAATTGGTCACCAATTGTGGCCTTAATATAAACGTCTTTTTCTCCAGTTTAACTGCAAAAGCTATAAGTAACTGTTATCTTGCAGATCACAGTTTTCCAGAACTTTGCACTCTTGGACTGCATGGGTAGAAGATTCTGAATAATTAAACACAGGTTGTAATTTGGGTTTCCCCACACATCCTATGGGCTGTGAAGAATTCTCTTCTGGAAAGGACATGTGGCCTCAGTGGGCCGAGTGCCAGGGTGCTCCTGTGCCAAGGCAGGGGGAGGGAGGGGAAGATCTCCGCCCTTTAGAGGCGGTGTCTTAGGTCTGGTTCCCCAGAAGCAAAGCCTGAGATGAGCATGCAGGTGATTTTTAATTGAAGGTGTGCTCTCAGGAGGAAACTGCGAGGGAGAGAGGGAATCAAGACAGCAGGGAAAGAAGCCAGGCAAAGATACGAGCTCAAAACAAGTCTAGCTCCCTACGGAAAGCTCCAGAGTTGTACCACACAGTGTGGCCTCTGTGAGCTAAAGGAGTGGGCTTTTATCCCCCTCCCCCTCCCAAACCCCTGCCAGTTGGTCAGTCATTGTCCCCAGTGAGTGGCTGGGGAGGGGCAGTGTTTCTTTACCTGGGAAGGTGGGCTCTCCAGAAGGTGGCTTCTGTCAGCCAAGGCCAGTCCTCTGGAGAAGGGTACGGGTGTGAGAGCCTAGCAGCCAACACCGGCAGCAGTTGGGAGCGCAGCGCTCCAGCTGATCAGGGCAGGGCGCGGCACCGGGAGCACCTGCTGCAGGCAGTAACGCCCTTCCTGTCACAGCATCTCAGCCTCACCGTGGAGGTGAGGCTGCCCCTGGCGGCCAGCTTGCACTGCGTGCTTACTACATTCCAGGTGCTGTTGTAAGCGTTGTAGAAAGTTAACCCACCATGGGTGCTATTGTGATGTCCTTCTACAGAATAGGAAGCTAAGTCACAGTGAACTTAAGTGACTCACCCGGGTCACGTGGCTAACAAGAGCTGGCGCTGGGGTTCTAGCGCGGGTAGCCGTGCCCTGCAGCCTGCCCACTGCTCTATAAGGCAGGGCAGGGCCGGGCTAGAGTCTGGGCACAAGTGACGGGGACACAGCTGTGATTCTGCCTTCAGTAACCACCTGGTGCCTGCAGGTGACAGCAGCCCTGAGCTAGTTGTCACTGAGTACCTGGGAGTCATCTGGGTGCCCGCTCTGCCCCGACACCATGGAGGTGTGAGGACGGTGACAGCATTCCCTCTGCCCCAGGGAGTTGGTCCACGTGACGAGAGGTGACCTACATGCTGGGAGCCATCGGATGCTGTGCTCAAGTGCCACAGTGGGCCGAGGGGGAGAAAAAAGGTATCTTGGTGCCTCAGACTAGAGAGTTGTCATCACGTAGAGTTGAGGTTTGCCTGAGGCCCTTCATGTTTTTAGAGAGAGTTGAAAAGGAATTATCATTTGAATAATTTTGTAGAAATTCTTGCTTTTAGTTCTGCTTACATTTTTTAATATGTAAGCATCTGAATATAATTTAGTTGCCTTATAATGTGCATTTTATTATTAGTGTATTTTTACTAAATGAATAAATGTTTCTTTTTGTTTGACAAAAATTGTGCTATTTAACATTTGTATAGAAAGCCTTGTCACTGAGTTTAAGATAAAGCAGTGTCCGTGTCCTCCCAGTCCTTTCTTGTCTGCGGGGTGAGTCTCAGACCTGTCGCAGCTGGTATCACTTGACAACAGCCAGAAGAGGTCAAGGGCTTATGATGTGCACTCTACTTCCACGTTCTAGGAGAATTAGCGCTTGTGCCAAGGTCTTCTTTCTCTTAGGCCCTTATCAATTTATTTGAGGCTGTTAGAACCTTAATTTTGCAGAGTACCTTCCTCACTGGGACTGTTAAACTGCGTTCAATTTTCTCAGCTTGACATTTTTTTCCTTCTTGTTTTGAACTTAAGCACGTTAGGGGGGAAAATCGCAGCAAACAATGAAATCTAAGCTGTTTACAGCTCCCCATTTTGTACAATTGATTTTATGTACATGTTGTTCTTTACAACTTTAGTGTCCTCGTCTTGGGGGACTTCTGCCTGAGATGTCACAGGACCCCACTTTCTTTGGGAGGCAAAGCGTGCAATGTCACCGCACATCAGCATTACAACCCATGTTCCCTGGAAGAGACAGTTTTTGGCTGTGCTTGTCAAACTGGGTCGTGGCAGTGGCATGGTTAGGAGGGTGGGCTCTGAGCTGGACTCCTGGGTTAAGTCATGCACACTGCTGCCACCTGGCCCTGTGACCTCAAACAAGGTATTTGGTCCCTCTGTAGAGTGAGGACTGTGATGGTACCTCCATCATGGGATTGTTGAGGATACAGTGAGGCTCACGGCACATAGCGCAGGGCTGGCCCGCAGTCAGGATACAGGTGTGTTAGCCATGCCTGCTACTTCTGCCCGTTGCACTGACGCCAGGGTTTTGGCTTGGTAATCCACAGATGACATGGCCTTTGATGTGTCCTGGTTTGCGGTGCACTCCTTTGGCCTGGACAAGGATCCCGTCCACCTGTCGTCCCTGGATCGGAAGGGGATTGTGAGCACAGCCCAGAGGGAGTGGAAGAGCGGGCTCAGCCTGGAGCGCGTGAGCGTGCTGGAATTCTTACTGCAAGTGCATGGCTCTGAGGACCAGGACTTTGGCAACTACTATTGCTATGTGACTCCGTGGGTGAAGTCACCCACAGGCTCCTGGCAGAAAGAGACAGAGATCCACTCCAAGCCCATCTTTATAACTGTGAAGATGGATGGTAAGAATGACACACAGGTCACTCTCGGTGTTGGAGGCATGACTCCTCTCTGTGCTCTGCTCCCGTGGATGGGACCCAGGTTCCTAGCCTTTGATGAACGTGCCCCCTTTCTCTCTAGACCTGGCCCAGCCTGTACCCAGACAGAGCACACACATAGCCCTTGCTGTTTTCTCAGCTTTGGTATCGTGTGTGCTGGAGGCACCCTTGGGAAATGATTTGTTAAGACTTACTGGAAGGATTTTTGATGCTTTCTGTAAATTCTATACATACCCACTTAGCTGTGCCCTAGGATTGGCACAGATTCTGCCAGACAGAGGCAGAGAGCAGTGCCAAGAGAGTGGGTTCAGGTCTCTAGGAGGGACTGTGAGTGGGTCCCTGCCTTCTCTTGCCCTCCTGTTGGTTCTGCTTCTTGGAAAAGGGAGGTTCCCCCTGGTGTCACTACCACAGAGGGGGGTCTTCACGGAACCCTGAGATGGGAGGGGGAGGTCTCGGCCTTGTTGGCCCACACTGACCACCGTGGTCTGCCTACTCAAGTGGTCAGAGGGCCCCCTCCCCACGCCTCTCCTCCCCGAGTGTCCCAGAGTGGGGGCAGTTGTTCCTTGGTTAACGGGAAACACGTCTTCTTTGTAAAAACTGTCAGAGTAAAAGTTAATTGAAAAAAACTCATGGAGCGAATTCAAGTCCAGGTGGCTCTGAGGGTTAAGTCAGAGCCTTTGAGTGCATTTCCCTGGTGATGTGTCAGTTTGGCTGAAATTGGACTGGAATTGACTGGAACTGGAACCCCAGCCCTTCTGCAGATGACTTAGCCTCTCTAATCCTTCATTTCCTCTCTGGTAAAATGGGATAAAAAGATCTCTCATGGGGTTATTGTGTTAAATGTCAGGCAAACAGCCACGGTGCCAGCATCCACTCAAGGCTGGTACTTTGGGGGATGGGAACATGGGACTCTGGGTTGTGGGATCTAAACAGTGTTTGTGCATTCCTGACACTCCGTCTATTTATACTGTCTTTGCATCTTTGAAATTTCTTGCTTGAAGACACTCCATATGAAAACCCAGAATTACCAAACGAGTAGGGAGTGATTATTCACTTTGCTAGATAATTTACTATAATGTTCCTTAAAATAGCTCTCCTAGTACACTTCAGTTATTTGATGCGGAGAATTGATTTATGTATGGTTTTTCTTAAGGATGCATCTGCTGCCGAATGTGTGGTGCCCTTATACTGACTTTTAAAAAATCAATCTCCTGCCAAAACCCTAAAAAGCAAGTTGACATTCAAAGCCATGGAAGGAAATCTTTTTTCTGGTTTTTCCCCCACCTCCACGGAACAGGGTGGGGAGACATTTGCTCACTTTTTAGACACGTATGGCTGAGCTGCTCCTGTCTCTAACGCTGTGCTAGGTGCCGGGTGCCGGGTGCGTGAGATCAGATCCCTCAGGGGGAGACCCCGCTCAGGTGGAGAGGGGAGGCGGTGGTCTTTGTGGACCCTCTGCCCCCCATCACTAACCGCTTCCCTTTGATCTGTCCCTCCCAGTGCTGAACGCCTTCAAGTACCCGCTGCTGATCGGCGTTGGCCTGTCCACTGTCATCGGGCTCCTGTCCTGCCTCATCGGGTACTGCAGCTCCCACTGGTGCTGTAAGAAGGAGGTCCAGGAGACGAGGCGTGAGCGCCGCCGGCTCATGTCGATGGAGATGGACTAGACGGTGCCGGGAGAGGCCAGGACAGAGGGACGGTCGAGGAGCAATTTGGGCGAGAAGAGGACAGTGATCTTTTAACGCGAAGTGTGTTACACTAAAAACCAGTCCTCTCTAATCTCAGGTGGGACTTGGCGCTCTCTCTTTTCTGCATGTCAAGTTCTGAGCGCGGACCTGTCTACCAGCACACAGCCCTTCTTCCCACGGCACTTTCTGATAGAACAGTCGAGTGTGTGTTTTCCCAACTGCGGCTTTTTAATGGTTAACCTTTGTCTAATTTTTTTCTCCTACTGGTTTATAGATCTCTGACCTGAGTGTGTTTCTATCTTTCGGTTCAAGGGGTTGCAGTGAGGAAGGGGTGATGGCGTTCAGAGTTCTTTGTCTTGGGTGAGAGCGGGACTGCCCGCGTGAGGGCCGGCTTCCCGCTGGAGGCACGCGTCAAGGGTGCCGCTCGGTAGGACCCTCTACCCCGGCCGAGGGACAGCACAGCCCAGTGCCGGAGGCTCGTTTGTGGCTTTTACAACCCTCCCCCACCCCCTATTTTCAGGGGTTTAGATGACATTTGAAATCTAAACTTGCAGGACGTAACTTCCTGTTGAGCCCCAGTGCATTCTGTTGTGTTTTGTTTTCTGCTCCTCTGCCCCCTTTCCATTTCTTTCGTATTTACTTTATGTGCGCGTGCTGAGATGGCCCTGGAATCGAGAATTTGGCTCTCCACCAAGCACCTTATCTTGCCACCTTAGCCTTAAGAATGAGAATGAAGAGAAATACACAGCCACCTCTGTCCAGGGCAGTACGAAGGCCTGCAAGGAAGAGGAGGTTGGGGACAAAGAAAGGAGCAGAAGGTCACTTCCATAGCTCTGAGGCCACCATGCCCCCGGGGACCCCGAGGATGGCGGAGGGGGGATCCTGGGCATTAGATTTCTGCAGCTCGTCCCCGGAGGGTCAGTGGTGCCGGGGTGTGTCAGGTGGAAAGAGCCACCTCCACCCCCTGTCCTGCCCTTTGTGGGGGGTAGGGGCCTGGTGGGTCTGCAGAGGGACCCACAGACCCCCTGCGTCCTTCACGGGCTACTTCGGCTCCTTAACATGGAGGCCAATTGCTGCTTGCAAAACTGACTGACTTCACGGAATCGGAAATTACCTAGAAGAACCATGCATTTTCTATGACCTTTTCAGTCCTTCAAGTCTTTTTAAGATTCCCCTGCAGGGGGTTAGTGAGAAAGGGTATACTTTGTGGTATGTTTGCTTTCCTATTAGGAAAACAGAGGAAACCCAGCAATTTATTGCTACATGAACAGCCTACAAAGTAGATCTGAGAGCAGTCCATATTGCCTGATTGCTCGTACCGGGAGTAGGACCATGGACCCAAAGAGATCTTCCGCTCCCTGAAGCGTCTCACCCCCTGCACAGCGCTGGCCTTCGGGAAGCATCCCAGTGGGGTTTTCTGAGGCTCGCTGGTGACTCATGCCCTACATTGCAATCCTCTGTGCTTTTATCCTGGCTCTGAAGGATCTAACACACTGCTCTGTCTTCCGAAGGGGAAAAAAAAGATTCGTCTGTTTTGAGCAATAAAGTCGTACAAAATGATGGCCATTCATGTGCGGCTCTTTGTCACAGTGGGCCGGACGAGCCGTACCCCTCCCGGCTCAGCGTCTTCCCCTCCACTCCCCTTGCTCTGTTGCCCACGATTCATTCTGCAGTTAGCACGGAGTGCCCCACCAGGAGGCAGACTGCCACCGAGTTCTTCCTTTTGGTTTTGCCCAGACCACACACGTGATAGAAGCTAGATTTTGCCCTAACCATAGCAGCACAAGTGAATTCCAGGCCTAGCCTCTGTGGCGGGCAGACGGGCAGCAGATGCCAGAGCCTAGATGGCTAGAGGACAGGCAGGAGGCCTTGCTAGCACTAGATTTGGGTGTTTCCTACATGCCGTTTCCTAACTGTGCTATTTCAGAGGAGGTGGGTCACAGGTAGCTGTGCAAACAGGCATTCAGGAGAGAACACATAGAAACAGGTGCTGTGTTAATAACAGCGGTGCCCTTTGAGCCCTTGCAGTTATCATGTCTACTAAAAGAAGATTCAGGATGTTTGTAGGGCAGGCCCTTGGTAGGGAGGAAAGGGTACTTGGCTATGGGTGTGACCGGGTGGCCCTGGGTATGTCTAAATCCATGGCTGGGCCATGGCAGACATTCGGTGACAGTAAAGGTGACACATGCTCACACACTGTACCTTTTCCTTGCAAACTGCTGTTGCAGTTCAAAGCTGGGCTTGTCAAGGTATTGACTCTCCCCCCACCCCACCCAGCCCCACCCTCTGTCCACTGGGCTGGTACAAAGTAGGGAGAAACCCCAGGGTGTTGCACCAAGGATCTCCTTCCTTCCAGAAGCATAGACCTGGCTGGAGCGTGTGTCCTTTTAAAAGTGTGAGATGCACTCTTTTGTTGTACCAAATACGGTCCCCTGCAAAGTGCTCTTCTGGAAGAGGTTCCTGCCAGAACCACTGGTACGAATGGAAGAAGGGCCCAGCCACGATTCCCACGGATAAAATTGCACTGCTGAACGCAAAGATGCTTGATTTAAAAAAAAGTTTGTTTTTTTTTTCTAATCATAAAAATATCCCCAGGAAAGAGCCTAAGCTATGTTCAGATAAAAGCCTCAAAATTACTTTCAATTGTTTACTTTATAATGTTTACATACACTTTTCACTTTTTTAAAAAAAAGAAAATGCAAACTCTGACTTTTTAACAACTTTTCAGATTTTTCATGGGACGGTGGAACCCTGACTCACCAACTGGATTTCAGTCTTAATTTAGGAATGTATTTATCTGTGTGTTTCCTCCCCTCCTATCCACGTGACTTTCCCTAAGATCCTGGGAAAGACGGCCCCTCCTGCCCAGACCCTCTCCTGTTTCCCCTGGTGGCTCTTGCTTCTTGCTTTGCAGACTGCCTGCAGCCATGGTTTTGTCACTGACATCTGTGAGCCAAAGACTGAGCCTTTTTAGCAGGAATAATAAGCAATACTACACAACTTGCTACTTTCAGAAAACTTTTTTTTAGCTTCACCGATGACAACAGAGGAAGAAGGGAACTGGGATTGGGGTAAGTTCTCCTCCGCTGTCTGACCAAATTCTCAGTGATAAATCTTGTGTGCAGATCACTAGGAGAAAAAAGTTGACTCTCTTTCTTTTGTAGCGTGGCACATGACGATCTGCCGAATTTTACGTAGACCAAGAAAGGGTCTTGTGTATTTTTGTCCATATCCAATGTTATATGAACTAATTGTATTGTTTTATACTGTGACCACAAAATATTATGCAATGCACCATTTGTTTTTTATTTCATTAAAGGAAGTTTAATTTAAATTGAAGTTGTGTAAGGAACTTGATCTCGGCCCCTGTTTCCCTTTCATCTCCTTTGCATGAGGGATTGTGGCTGAATCAGCTGCAACCTGTGCACCTTCTGACCTCTTTGGACCTCATGGAAGTATTGTAGATTTTCCCCAGAAAGGGGAGAAGAAATGGATGTAATGGGATCAATATTGAGATGCCCACCAAGCGGAAAGGTGAGGGCTAGGATCCTGCTGCTGGTGGACAGTCTCTTGGTCTTCACTGAATTCTCATGGCACTTCAGGTCTCCTGTCAGGAAAGAGAGAAGTTAGAAGTGAGGTGGTTCCTCTCTGCGGATGAGGAAACACACCAAGTTCTGTGACCATATCGTGACTGGAACAGAACAGCTTTTCTGACTCATGACCCAGTCTCGAGCCAAACCAGTCCAGAAGGTGCTAGCCTTCCTACCCTGTTAAAAAAACAGTGCTTTCCCCCAGGCCGCTGTCTGCAGGGACCTGGATGGGAGGGCGTGCTGGGAGCCCCGACTCCCCACTTGCCCCTGGGGCCGTTTGTGTCCTGGGCAGGGACCTCCTCACTTGCGAGATCTCTGGGGGCCGGGCCTGTGGAAGGTACTGGCAGTGATGGAGCACAGTCAGTGCGCCCCTGTGGGGCCTGGCCTGCCACTGCCTGCTTCTCCACGAAGCAGGAGGATTCTGCTCACGTCAAAACGCTGACACAGTCAGAGCTGGACTTCAGCAACCCCTTGCCTGCTGCTGAGCCTGTTCCTGCCTCAGTTTATTTTAAAAAGAAAAAACTTGCTTGCACACCTCCTGTGGCCTAGGCACTGCTCAGCACAAAAAACCTGCCACCTACTCACTTTCCTGTAGGCCTTGGCACGTGCTGTCTGCTCGTCTGGAAACCTCTTTCCATTTGTCCAACTCCGACTTCTCCTTCAGGTCCCAGGGGGCCTTTTCTGCCCCCCCGTAGGCTAGGTTTGGGACCCCTGACAGATGCTCTGGTTGTCTGAAAGCGACAAGAGGGCAGGGACCCCTCACCACTGTGACAACGGCGAACACCGGGATCCTTAAATGTGCTGTGACTGGGCGGGTGCCACAGGTCATCCCCAGGTGACTACAGCAGAAGCTTTCTTACCTGCTCTTCATGTAACTGGATCTTGCAAATAACAGCCACTCCACGCCCTCGAACCCACAGACCCATGTGTGTAGCACGCCGCTTTAAAATACAGGTCTTAGGATTTAGATGAGGCAACAGATCAGGAGATGACTGCCATTGAAAAGACAATCACAGATCTCAAGAGGGGCTGTCACAGCGGAAAGCACCAGGGTCCAGCCGGAGGCAGGGGGACGAGGGAAGAGCACGGGCGACAGGCTTTGCTGTGGTTTTCACAGGAAGGATCGGGCCAGTCAGGGTCAGCAGGCTCAAGGCTCACTCGGTTGGGTAGTTTTCAGCGGGCTCTGAAGCCTAGGGAATGTCCCTAGTTGTTTGGTGTGATGAAAAAACAGCTGTTTTGAGTTGCTGCCCAGGATTTGACAGTCTAATAGCCCTAGCCAGAGCCTGGACATTTAGATAAGGACCTGAGTTTAGGATTTCCACCCCAGGGAATCCCCCTTTGCTTTTCCCGGGGCACCTTTTAAAATAACCATTTTGAATTGAGCCTGCAACCTCGGCCCCAAGCACCTTCTAAGTACTAGATACCTGCTACCCTGCTCTCTCTCCCCTGCTCACTGGAGACCGGGACGTTGGCGGGCTGCCCTGCCCCCAGCTCATTGGCCCCACCGGCTCTGCTTTCTGGGATCCGTAAGTAATAAATTCTGTGACTTTACTTTCTTTGTGTGAGGGTATTGAAACTGCTTTCAATCAAAACGACCCTGGGGTTTGACCTCCCCAGAGTGGGCGTTGAGATACTCTCGGAGCCACCTACTGACCCCGTGTGGGTGGCCTGTGCCTCCTCATTCAGCAGGTCATAATCTGCATATTCTTAATTTAATACACCAGCTATGCCTCCCCCAACACATCCGGTTCCTGGCCCCGGACCCTGGGGGGGTGATCAGAGCAGGGAACAGTGGTCCTGAGGGCGAGAGCCCAATGGAGGAGGTGGAGGGGTATGGACTCTGCATTGTTCTGTTTGCACAGGAAAAGTGTGCTCACAGGCAAATGGGAATTATTTCCTTTCTCTAGGTGCTGGCCAGCCCTGGGAGGAACAGTCTCTCCAGGATCAGCAAGGTCCTAAGTATCAAAGCGTCAAAACCAGAAATAAAATGACATGATTAATACATTGGCCACTTGGGGCTTGTGCACCTGGGTGGCTCAGCTCCACCCACAGAGGCGATGCTCCCCCAAGCCCTCTCTGTTCTGTTTATTCTCCAGCCAATGTGTGCCACCAACACTGGTTGCTATGATGACAGAACTTCACTGAATAATACGTAAACCATTGAAATAGAAGTGCCAAAGAAAGGTGTTGATAAAGGTAAGATGAATTCTATGGAAAGAGTCAAGAGGCAAATTGCTTTTTTTTAAAAAAAATGCTGTCTAGTGGGGTGGGGGTATAGCTCAGTGTTAGAGCGTGTGCTTGGCAAGCACAAGGTCCTGGGTTCAATGCCTGGTACCTCCGTTAAGGGGAAAGACAATGCTGTCAGTTCCAGGCAAAACAACTATAAAGGACGGAGCGGGAACAAATCACAAAAACATGGAAGGGTTCTGTACTCCACTGGCTTCACAAGTGTTCTTAAAATTTTTACCCCTTTTTAAAGAAATCAAAGCTGAAAGTTGTAGAAAAGACATAGGTTTGCTTTATGCAAAAAAAAGTCATAGGAGACTCCAGACAACAGACCAGTACTCAAAGGAAAGACCTGGGCCTGTGTCTAGAGATTGGTGAATGAATATTCAGGTATATAATTGAGCTGAAAACACAAATTTTGAGATACAGAGGAGTCTTTTTAATGATTCCCAACTTTACCTGACATTTTCTGTTAATCGATAAACTAACAGCTCTAATTGTGTCAGATAATGGGATTTCTCCTGTTACTGTCCCCATTCTCATATTTGAGGAGATTGAGACAAACTAATTTGCTTCAGATGTGAACCCAGATCTTTCTGACTCCAGAGTCTGTACATGGTCTAAATCACTGTACCAGCTGCCATGCCTGGAGATTTTAGGCATTCAGTACCTGTTGAAGAAGTAGAAAGATGAGTAAGAACTGGCCTCTGCCCTTAGGAAGTTTATGGTCTTGTAGGAGAGGGAGGCATGTAAAGAATTCATTTCATTACAAGTAACAAGTAAAATTATTATTATTTCTCTGACATAGCATACAGGAGAGGGTGAACTCTCTAAGGTGTCAAGAAAGGTTTCACATAGGAGATGCAAACCTAGATTTAAAATTTTTTTAGTGAGTAAACATCTGCCAGGTAGGAAGGGCTCTAAGCAGAGGGGAATAATAGCATATGGAGAGTTAGAGAAAGGATGGTAAGGACACGTTCAGAGAAATACAGTGATTCTGTCTGCAGGGTGAGGTTGTGGGAGAGATCTGAGGGGCCAGCTTGTAAAGGTCAGGGCAAGGAGTTTGGACTTGATTGTCTAGAAATATTTGGGGAGCCACTGAAAACCTTTAATGGGGAGAGTGCATAGCTATTTTCACATTTCAGATCACTCTAGCAGGTCAAGTAGGGAAAGGGGCAAAATCATGATCAGCATCCTGCTGACCCTTTCAGGGTTTTCTTTTCCATCCTCCAGTCACTCATTGTCCTACACATTCTGCTTTCTGAAGATCATGGATGGCAAAGTTAGAAAGTTCAGTAGAGCCCAGAGCCAAAAGTAAGAAGGCAGCCATAGAATGCATCCATTTCCTGGCAATACAATCTTGTCTAGATTAGTTGATTCCTCTAAGCCTCAGTTTTCTCATCTGTAAAATGGGATTAGTAATGCCTGTCACATAATGATGTGAGTTCTTCTGTAACACTGAATATGTGAAAATGCCTTGCACAGCACCTTCCATGTAAAAAGTCCCCATTTAAATGTTTCTTGGGCCTGAATGCTTAGGACAGGAGATCAAGATACTTACAGTTTCTATGATTTTGTGGAATTCATATTTAAGCATGTCAAACCTGAAAAAAAATACATCACTTTTCATTAATCTTCTAGGAACTGAAACAGATTTTTTTTTCTTTAGTACATGCTTGTGTTGCTTTGTCCAGCACTCCGTTGATCTGAACCAGGAATTCCATTTTTACATTCCTTTCAACTGATACAATTGCAATGTGCTGCAGTGATTCCCAAGGTAATAGAATAACTGTCTCTCTCGCTAGCTCTATTTTTTTCTCTCTTTTTCCCCCCTTTGATAACAGAAAGCTTCTTTTTTTTCCCTCCAGAAAAGAAGCAACATCACCCTGTCAATGTTAAATTTTGGCAGAAATGGAGCCACTAAAATGGAAGGAGGGAAAAAAAATTTTGGCAACAGCCAAGAATGAGAAATTGCATAGCATTTACTTAGTTGTATGTATTTCAAGAATATAGGGTACGCTGTATTATTGGCAATGATTGCCTCTGTTGGCAACACTTATTTCTAAATTCTCTTTTCAGTGCATGTAGCAGACTGATTGCACTGCTGGCCCCAGTTCTTTCCCTCTCCTTTTGCCCTGTCACTGTGCAGTTCCCTTCACTAAAGAGATGGAGTCTATTAAGCCATCTCTTGCATTTGGACTTGGCCCTGTGACTTGCTTTGATCTGTAGGATGTTAACAGTCATCATTGCTCCCACAGAAAACTGCAAAAAGCTTGTAACTGGCCTTCCTGCTTCTAGCCTTACCTCCCTTCCTCATCTTGGTACTTCAGTTTAAAGGGAAAATAAGACCAGGCCATTCTCCTACTTGAAAAAAACCAAACTCTCTGAATAGCTTCCCTTTTCTACAAGGTTAAAGCCAAGCTCTTAGGCCCAGCATGCATGGCCAGCTAAGGTCTCCCCTAGCCGACCTGCTGAGACCCTTCTCCCTTCACACCAGCCTCAAGCTTTACTCCAACGCACGGGCTCAGCTGCTGTGCCATTATCCATGCTGGGCTATTTCTCCCCACCGTACCTTGGCCCCCCTTTCTCCCTGGTTGTCTCCTTTGGCCTGGTGATCCTGGGCTTCCCTCCCGCCCACTAACTCCCCCACACCCTTTAGGGGCTGCACTGATGGTTGTGCTTGCAAAATTATGTTGTGATTATCTGATTAAGTGGAGGTTTCCTGAGAGCAAAGACTGAGTTGTTAATATCTATGTACATGTAGCACCTACCACGGCATGTTGGATGGGTGGATGGATGGAGCAGGGATCTGCCGTAACTGTGGCCTGAAGCAGACCGGGTTGTTACTGACCTGTGTAAATAGAGGCTTATCCTCGGGAACTAACGTCTTCAGTGAGCTCATCCCTTGTACGGTCTTGTCTTGGAGGAAGGATTAAGTTGGCCTGGGTTGAGTGTCAGCTGTTACAGTGGTCACTCCCCTCCATCCTTGGTGCCCAGGCCCACACTGGGCAGATGAAGATTCACTTAGCTGTCTCTGATACTCATGGAGCACTGCCTATGTACTAGATAACGTTCTAAGTGCTTTAAGCGAATTCGTTCATTCAGTTCTCAGAGCAATCTTTTTTTGTTTCTTTTCCAATTCTCATAGCAATCTTGCAGGGTATATACTATTAGTATTTCCATTTTGGAGTTGAGGGTTAGAAAAGATGAATGAACTTTTCTAAGATCAGCTATTAAGAATAGAATCTGTGTGCCAGGCAGCCTGACTCTAAGCGTGACCTCATCACCTCATGTCTCCCCAAGTTCGTGTTTTCAGGGGCGCTTCTCTTGTTTCTTAGTTCTTTCCTCTCCCAAGGTGGGAGGCAAAGTAAGAGATAAGAAGATACCACTGCTGCTTGTTTTTAATTTATTCTGTTTACTTAAATTCCTCCATTATTACCTAATGGTATATATTTAGCCAGGAGGAAGCCCATCTTCTCTGAGCTTCCTCTTTAGTTTACCTACCCCTGAAGATAACTCACTTTTCCCACCCAAATTTGAATGATTAGCAAAGAACCACCTAAAGCAACCAGCGTTGCTTTTTGCAAGCCATCTCTGTTTCTCAGTGGGCTGAAAACCACACTATTGCTTCCTCTTTGTACTGAGAACACAGCCATTTGTCACTCAGCGTCTGAGCACCGTCAGTGACACCGCCGGGAAAGGTCTATACTGGTCCAAATGGCACTCATCCTGCATGTGGCATCTTTTTTTCTCATTCTGAGTAAGTATCATAATTCTGTACATTACTATCATCGTGGGGCCAGTCAAACGGAGACCGATGGGTGATAAAATGGGACAATTTGGCCCCCTATAGGAAAAATGATGCCACACATCTCTGGTGCTGGCAGTCATTTTTGACTGTTGATGATGTTCTTGGCTCACCTAGACATCCTTGAGTCCCAGGAGGTGCTATGTCTGGTTGAGTCCCATGGTAACCTGACCCCGCTGGTTTTCACATTTGTGTGTCTTGCCTGGTCTGCTGGTTTGCTGGCCCTGGCTTTACCTTATCTTCTTGAGCTAACCTGTCCGTGGAGAGAGCAAGAGGTTTGACTCCCCAGACTGAGAGGTGACCTTAAGGTTTGCCTGATGTTTGAGCTTGTCTCGATAAGTGTGCCTTGGGTTTGTGGCTGGATGGAAGGAAAGGTCATGAGAGTGCTTAGTAGTTTTAGGTTAATGTAAGTTAACGTAAAAGAAGGTTCTGGACTTTAGCTGTGAACTGAAGTGGGAACTGGCTACCAAGAAGAGTCAGGAAGATTCACTCAGCTCTGCTGAGGGGCATCTGAAAGGACCTCAGTCGGCCCAGGGGCATTTGTACCTGTTTGAACAGGCTGGACAGAGGGCAGATTGGGGGGTGGAAGGGAGAACAGGTGAGCTGGGCAGGGAACGCAATCGTTTCCAAGCAGACAACAGGCAGTAGGTGCTTTTTAATGCTACAGGTTCTTTTAGCATCCGGTGAAGCCCATAGACCCCCATCTCAGAAGAACTTTTAAGTGCCTACATTAAAATGCTTAAGATTATTGGGAAAATCAATCATATTGAAATCCAGTTATCAAAATATTTTAAAATAAATTGATGTAGTCACTTACTACTCCTTTATTTATGCATCACGTAACAAGATCTAGAGGTGGTCTCTTAAACACCAAACTGCAAAGTGGTGATGACCATGAACAATATTTTAAGATACCTGCAATAGATGTGATGGGAAAATAGCTATGGGTTGTTGTCTACATTTATGACTGAAGAAAATACTAAATTTCCATTAAGATTTGTGAAAATAAAGCTGTAAGGGCTTTTTTCACCCAGGCTTATGGACCGTTTAATCTCCCATGTGCACCCAGGTTAAGAACTGCTTTAGAGAGACTGGATTGAATTAGTGAAGGGACTTGAATGACTAGGATGATAAGGGAACTAAAAGAGCTTAGAATTAGTGTGACCTGGGCTGTGGCTAATGGGTGAAAAGGGTGCAGCATTCAGCTCAAGGGAGGCTTAAGAAACTTTGGCTTGAGTTGAACCAGGCTCATGTCTCAAAGGACACTGGCTAGTATGAGGTAAAGTTCAGATAGTGGCCTGATGGGGCGAGCGCTGACCTGTAGGGAAAGTTCCTGGGACCAGTGGCTGGGTAATCGATGCCTGCCAGACTGACTTGGCAGGCGCTGATGGTTAGGTGGTCTGGTGGGGACCTTTGGGGACCGTTGGCTGGTATGTTCCTGTTTGTCCTGTTCAGTTGTCTGTGTGTGATGCTCAAGTGTCTGCTTTGTGTATGTGAATTGTGTGTCTGGCCTGCGTACAGGGGAAGCTGGGCTTACATTGTGCAACAAGTCAGATGATTGCAAATTCTCTCTCTCTTTTTTTTTCCTCCTGATGAGTAAGCTGAAAGGCCTGAGAGAAGGAATGTAATAACCAAGGTTCAAAAAGGGGAAGCTGGATGCCTTTCATAGCCCATTTAAAGAATTACCTAAACTGGGTTACGTATTTACTTCTTCGGAATTTAGACTCATCCTCAGCACTAATTTTATATGTTTTTATGTGAAAAATACATAAATCAGGAAGTAATTTGAAGAAAAAAAAACTGTGGGAGCCTGCTATTTGTCATTACGAATACAGAGTAGGGAATTAGGGAAATTAATTAAATGATGATCAACTGACCAACTACATTGTTTGGAAAATGTATACTTTGCCCTAATTAATTTTTAAAATAAATAGGTGGGGGGGAGTTTAGCTCAAATGGTAGAACCCATGCTTAGCATGTATGAGGTCCTGGGTTCAACCCCCAGTCCATTTAAAAAAAAAAAAACCTAATAATAAATAAATAGGCCTACTGCCCTTCCCCTCTAAAAAATAAAATAATAAAGTGAAAATTTTTTAAAATTTTTTAAATAAAATAAAATGAATATGAAGACTGATTAATCATGTGAGAATATGGGGCTAGATGTGGTTAATGTCATGGATAAATGAGCTCTTGGACTTAGCTTTGTGTACTTGGTCTGTCACCTTTCACCCTGATTAGCTGCCCTGCAAATAAAAACCATTAACATAGGAGGGTCCTGGGAAGGGGCTATTATTGTTTGTCTCACTGAGACTGTGTTCATGAAAAAAAAAATTTTACTAAATTATGGACAAAAGTGCTCTCAGCCTCCAAGCATATGGAATTTCTGTTGATGTAAAGAAAGAGAAGTTTCTTGTTGTGTTTAATGTTCTCCAGGTCAGTTTTGTATAAGGTGGAATCATTTAAAGTTGCGGGGTTTTTTGTGTATCAAAAATGGTCAAGTGTAGACCATTTTATATAGTTCAGTCTAATAGCTTCCATTCAAATACTACTGAAACAGAAAATTTGGCAATCCCAGTGATGTTTTTGAAAAAAGCCAATACCAGCAGGGAATCCTTAGTGTTTCAAAACTGTGACTCCACTGCATTCTGTCAGTGCCAAGCTGTGCACCCATCAGTCAACAAGCATCTGACCTGCTGTGCAGAGGTGCCTGAACCTCTGTCCATTAAAACAGAAAGCAACGGGCCAGTGCTCCAAGGTATTTTTAGGAGGAGAGACATGTGCAGCATCCCGCAGAAAATAGATTTATAATAAGATGCTTCAGGGCATGATCCCAATGCATAGCCATTTGAATTGGCCTCTGTCAGTCATTCCTTTCCACCTCCAAAATACCTGTTAAACCTCCCCACTGTTTCTTTTGCATTTCTGAGAGAGCAGTATCCTCCCAATCATGTTCTTGACCTCATGCCTCTTCTAAGACCTTACTCCATTCATCGTCCTCTCTTGCTTTATCCACCTCTACCCTCTCCAGCTCCTCTGCCCATAAATATGCAGAGGTGCCTGCGTCCACCTCGCCCTCACTGCTCTCCCCTACCCAACGACTCTAACTGCCATCCTATTTTTCTTTTTGCCTTCTCCATGAAACTTCTTGAAGTGCTTAATGTTTCTTCCAGTCACTTCTTACCCTTGAAATCCTCTGCTTCTGCTCTGTTGAAATCTCTTTTACAAAGATCTCCACTTACATCCTCATCATCAAGCTAAAAGGACTTTCCCCTGCCTTTAGAGTTCTTACCCTCTCCGCGGCATCCAGCAATACCAACAGGCTCTTTCTTCTCGGAATATTTTGTCTCCTTTGGTTTCAAGCTGCTGTCCTGGCTGCCCTCCCACCTCCCTAATTCTTCCTTCTGTAGGTGTTGTCCCTCATCCTACCCCCTAAATAGAGAGGTTCTCTAGCAGTCTCTCTCTAGCCCTCTCTCCCAGATTGTAACTGACCTAATCCCCATCTCCAGCCCAGAACGCTCCCTAGTTACAAACAAGCATTTATAGGAACCAGTGAGAAACAATGGAGACAGCCAGGAATTTGACATTTGTATGTCAAATTCAAGTCTGGCTCCACCATTTACAACTTTGACATTGCTAAATATGGAAATATCACAGAGTTCTTTAGAGGATTAGATGGCAAATATTTTCAAAAGTTTGAGTAGATTTTGAAGTGCAGTTGTATATATTTCAATATTATTTCCTAATGTTTGATGGGTATCCTTCCTGTCTATTCCGTGCCACTCGAATTTAGTATTTCCAAAATTAAATGCATTATCTTCCCCTTCATCCTTGAGCACACAGAATTATCTCCTCCTGATATCCTTGTTTCTATTAACAGCATCATCACTCTCAGTCACCCTTACAAAACCTAGTGTCATCTTTGACTTCTTCCTGCCTTCCATCCCTCTATCGCCCCTTCTACCTCCGAGCATCCAAGACACTGAAAAGACTCTATAGATTTTTATCTCCACAGTGGCTCTTAAATTATAGCCCCTTTCTTTCCATTTCTATTGCCTTCATCATTTCTCTCTTGGGCACCTGTAATTACCTGATGTCTGTTTCTAACTCCATCATCCGACACACTGTCAGGTTAATTTTCCTAAGACCTTTCAAACACTTGCTGTGGACTCTCCATTGCTTAATCAATCAATCCCAAACTTTTAAACATGATACTCAAGTCCTTCACGCTTTGGACTCAAAATTCCTACCCAATCTTACCGCCTTCTATTAATCTTTATGTAATCATTATGTTACATTTCCTCTAATCCAACTAATTACTCCCTATTTCCTAAACAGTTCTTTTGATTACTACTTGTACAGTCTTGTCATGAAGACTCCTTCACCTAAAAGGTCCTGCCTCCCCTCTTAAATTGTCATAATCCTTCCAATTCTCAAAGGTCCATTTTTAACACTATCTCTTTCATATACCCTACCTATTTTCCTCTCCCAAAATGCAATCTCTCTTTTCTTTGAATTCCTCAAAGCACTTTTACCATATCTCTTTCCAGGAGAGGTGACTACCCACTTGACTAAATTGTAAAATAAAGAAGTCAGAAACTACCCCAAACTCATCTTCAAATCTTAGTTCCCGAAATATCAGAAACACTACAAGCGGTTGAATAAATATTTATTGAATTAGCAAATAAAGCAGTAGAAAACACGGTGCTGGTTTTCACAATAAAATGTTTCAAATGTGGTAGCCATCTCTCTGAAAAGTCATTAAAAATGTTGAGGAAGTGTTGCCTAGCCACCAAAAATAACACTGTGGAAACATGTCGTGATACAAACCTGTTAGTGGTACCTCAGAAACCATATTTTTAAAAGGCATTTTTATTGTGAAATATAACACATAACGAAAAGTTAATAAAACATAAATGTGCAGTTTAACAAATGAGTAAAAAGTAAAAATCATGTAATCACTACCCGGGTCAAGAAACAGAACATTGCTAGGATGCTTGAAGCACCCACCCACCCTGCTGTGTGCCCCATCCGGATCACAACCCTCTACACACACACGCATGCACACATGCACGCACAATCTTGACTTTCATGATAACCACTTCCTAGCTTTTTTTTTTAATGGTTCTACCCCTTACATTTGCATCACTAAACGATACGGTGATGGTGTGGTACTGCCTTTTAAACAGTTTTGTATAGAGTCTTTCTGTATCTAGTCAAGAAGATTCTACAGTATTCTGAATCTTTAAACACAGTCATCTGTGTTACTGCAACCAACTGCAATCCATCCACTTTCCTTTCTGGATGAGATTCCGTTTTATGAACGTACCACAGTCTGTCCAGTCTTCTGTTGATGGGCATAGGGCTGGCCTCCAGTTTGGGGGTGATAGTAAACAGTGCTGCTGTGGATGCTCTTGCACATGTAGCCTGGTGCACACCGCTCACGTTTCTCTCAGACGTGTGTCTAAGACTGGCTGGCTTTGCTGACAATGTTTTAAACTGCCTCTGTAGTGGGGAGGGTGTAGCTCAGTGGTAGAGTGCGCTTAGCATGCATGAGGTCCTGGGTTCAATCCCCAGTACCTCCATTTAAAAAATAAATAAACTTGATTACCTCTCTCCCCCCAAAAATAAATTCCCTCTGTAGTATAATTTTTTTGGTAAGTGATATTTTCAGATTTTCTCGGATGGTCTAACTGCTATTCCTAGATGCTTATTACAAGAAATATGATATAAATATATAGTGTTAACTGGGATTTATGAATAAGCTAGTATATTTTAAATTATTACTGGAAATGTGTGTGGTTGGCTGATTGGATGTTTGTTTTCCAGTTTTGCGTGAGTATTTTTAGTTGACTCCATCAGGTGACCACTTACCCTTTCTCCCTGTTTTTTTGTAGATCTGCTCCTATCAGAATTGTTCTCATTCCCAGATTCCTATACTCAGCCTTATCATGGTCTCTGTAATGTTATTCCCTTTCTCTCACTTTTTTTTTTTCACTCTGGTCTTTATTCTTTGTCCTTGTGGATTCAGACAATTCAACAGATGCTCTGCTTCTTCCATATCTTCTTATGAACTCTCTTCTGTTAATTCCATTAATTCCAGCAATTGCTCCCATCGGGACTTCTGATGTCTTTCCACTGGGCCCTCAGCCCCGAGTGAAAGAGCTAGCTCACCCTTGTGGCATCTCTGCATTTGTTCTTTGTTCTTTCTGTAACACAAAATAAACTAGCCTTTAATATTAACATAAGCACATACATTTAATTTATTTTTTATTGAAGTATAGTCAGCTAAACACATTTTAATTTCTTAAAATGTCTTGCTTTTGAAAATGTGTATGTCAAAGGAAATGTTACCTTTGAATAATGTTTTCTCCTTTGAACCAAATGGTTGAGATTTGGACACATTCCATAGTGGTCCCAACTGAAAACCTTTGGTAAGAGAACAACTGAAATCAGTCTGATCCCAGATCCTGCTGGACTTGACAGCCATCTCTTATAGGCTTTTCAATAAAGCTGTAATGACTCTAAAAAAATGACAAAACCAAAACTCCTTCACAGTATAGAAAGGAAGTTCTGCTGCGTCTTCAGATGCTAATTTTAGCTAGTCTTGCATCAGACCTGGCCAGGAACTGCAAACAGTTCCAGCCAACCAGCAGGAAAAACATGGCACCAGGGACAGTGCCATAGACTTTGCCGCCCTAGCGATCAGTTCTGTGAGAAGAGCTCAGTGACAGGTATCCAGAAATTGAGGAAGTACATGCCGAATTTTCCCATAAAATAATGGAAGTGGTGAATTATCATACATCATATTTACTTTAGGTGCACTTAGATAAGCAGATATGTTTTGTGGAGGTGGTCCTGTTACATTGATGAAGCTAAACTTTTTTTTTTTAAGAGACTAGAGATTCCTGTGGAAGTTAAAGTTATAAAAAAAACAATGAACTCATCAAGCCATTCCACTGCTCCTCAGCCTGAAGAAGGTGTTGAACATTTGAGTTGATGATAGCTAATAACCTGCGATCTCATTGACTAGAACTGTAATAAAGGCAACTACATAATGTGGTGCGTTGGGAGCTGGAGCACTAATCTTTTTATTCCCTTTCTTCCTCCTACTTGCAAGCTAAGCTCACCATTGGCCAGAGAGAAGTAACAGTTCAGAAAGGACCGCTGTTCAGAGCTGAAGGTTACCCTGTCAGCATCGGCTGCAACGTAACTGGCTACCAGGGACCTTCTGAGCAGCATTTCCAGTGGTCTGTTTACCTGCCGACAGCCCCGGCCCAAGAAATCCAGATCATTAGCACCCTGGATGCCACCTTTTCTTACGCTGTGTATGCACAGAGGGTGCGGAGCAGGGAAATCTACGTGGAGAGGGTCCGGGGTAACTCGATCTTTCTGCACATCTCAAAGCTCCAGATGAAGGATTCCGGCGAGTATGAGTGTCACACGCCCAACACTGATGAAAGATACTATGGCAGTTACAGTGCGAAGACTAATCTCATTGGTAAGCCGGGTGCCCTCCTCTGCTAGCCAGCCCCTGCGAAGCCAGTGTCTCCCTCATCACAAGGCCTTGCAGTGTGACGTGGCTTTGTACTGTGCTGTTTGTTTTGGCAAAAGAGCCACATACCCCTCTGATATTTTGGAGTTTGTCACAAATAGGTATCTCATATTCTCTAAAACTCTCAATTCATGTTTCCAATCAACTTTGTCATGAAGAGTTAGAGTATGTGGTCTTCCAAGACCTTGCCCACAGCTCTCCATAGGTTGATAATGCAACGCCATTAGACAGATCTTGGGGACTTCACATGTTATGTCTCTTCTTGGATGCAGACTATTAACTTAGCTAGAAGAGCTGGTATCAATATAATGCATTTAGTGTATATTAATATATATATATAATTCATAGAGTATCATAGGAAGTAAGTCTTGGAAATAATTATTCTCAAACTACCATTCTCCAGCATATTTACCTTTGGGGAGAGGGCCATAGTCCTTGCAATTACTCTTTTGTCCCTTTGCCTAGAATGTCTTATCCTCCCCTTTTCAGCCTAGCAAACTCCTACGTATACTTCCGAACCCAGTTTAGATATTACCTCTTCTGTGAAACCCATTCTTGACTGTCTCAGAAAGTATTCCCGTCATTGTTCCTTCTTGATGCTCTATTCCCACCACTCTGATTAGCACTCACCCAGTTCATGTGGTTATATATGACCCTCTCCTACCCACCTCAAGTGCCATGAGAAGAGAACGTTCACCACACCCTGCAGCACAGCGGTTAGCACCGAGTAGATACTCAATAAATATTCCTTGTGGAATATGAGTGTTGCTTTCACATGAGTGGAGGCTGTGTGATTTCCTTTGAGGAAGAAGAGAATGGTAGGGTAGTAGGATGGTTATCAAAACTTTTGTAGGGGTTGCATTTTGGCTCTGAATGATAGATTATAACAGGTTTTTTAGAACTTTATGAAGGAGCAGGGAAAGGGCCAGGGAAGTGCAATGACTTGCTCCAGTTCATGTAGTCAAATAGGGACAAATACAGGATCAGAATATAGGTCTTCTAGCTCCTAGTGCTTTTCCCATTTAAAACCTCTGTGTCTGAGTAGCTAAACTGGTTCAAACCTATGCTAAAAATGTGAAATCAGGGTCAGTACATCAGTGAACTGTTAGCTTTGCTGAGTTCCATAGACTGTATGTACATAGTTGCCAATATTCCTGTTGACAATAGGGAAAGCCGATGGCTAGTGGAAAAGCAACTCCAAGTATGTGCGTTACAGGTGGCGGGGCAGGGCGCCATCTTCACCTAAGGAGGCCAGTCAGACAGGTGCTGGACCCGTCAGTTACCATCATTTCTTTGCTTCCAGTTATTCCAGATACCCTCTCTGTTGCCATGACTCCCCAGACTCTCAGTAAGGAGGAAGGTGAGCCATTAGAACTTACCTGCGAGGCATCCAAAGCCACAGCTCAGCATACCCACCTCTCCGTCACCTGGTACCTGATGCAGGATGGAGAAAGAAGCCAAGCCAGCAAGATTATTTCCCTCTCCAAAGATTTTATGTTGATCCCTGGACTCTCATACACAGAGAGGTTTGCAGCCGGGGACGTGCGGCTCGACAAGCTTGGGGTCGCCACCTTCAGGCTGTCAATAGGGAGGCTCCGGCCCGCCGATCAAGGCCAGCTGTTCTGTGAGGCAACTGAATGGATTCAGGATCCAGACGAAACCTGGACTTTCATCACAAAAAAGCAGACAGATCAAACAACTCTGAGGATCCAGCCGGCAGGTATTGATCTTCTCAGGAAATTTCTTAATATGCTGGTTATGGATACTAGGGAGTTATCTTTTTGTTTTTTGTTTTTTTATATCTTTTGTTGGATCTAAACAAATCATTTAGAAAGTTTGAGTAAGTTTTGGTTTTGTCACCTGGGAAGCAGAAATAAGGACATTCAGTGTGGGCTGTGTCCACAGGAGGCTGTATATGGGATAAAATCTGTTGAATGTTAGGCAGATTCCACGAGCCATGCACAGAAGTAGTTGTTGCTATTCTTGCCAGCCTCTGCGTAAGCGCTTTATCTCCATTATCTAATTTAGTCCTAACAACCACCCTCTGAGGCAAGTAGTCAAGTCCCCATTTTTAAAACAGGAGGCTGAGCCTCCGCTCAGTGCACCGCCTGAGCTCACCCAGCTGGTGAGGAGCAGACCTGGCGTTTGAAGGCAAGTGTGTCTCTCCAGAGCCCACTCACCACAGACGCTGGTTTCCAACATGAAGCCTTGTCTTGGATCAGTGCTGGGATCTCCGTCCACCTGACCCCTTTTCCTCGGAATGGTGCACTCTTCGTGACGCATTGGCAGTTTTACCAAAGCAAACTGGAATTTTCCATTGTGATTCCTGGTCTCTCTACATGGACTTTGGTCCAGTAGGAGGAGGTCTAAAACCATATATATCCATGCTGAAAGCAATGATGCAATGGCGGATCACTGAAGCTTGCTTGCTTGCTTCCTTCCTTTCTTTCTTTTTTAGGAGGAGGGTTATTCTATTCCATTAAAAGTTGTCCTGATGGCCTTCAGTGTCCACCTTATACTCAAGTAGTCCTATGGAGACACATCACATGTGCTTTTCTCCCTCTCTTGGAAAATAATTTTTAAATATAAAACAGTCTTTATTTTAAAAATTTATTTATTTAGACAAATAAAAATTATATATATTTAAGGTGTACAGCATGTTTTGATATCTGTAGTCACTGTGAAATGACTATAATCAGGCTAATTCACATACCCATCACCTCACATAGTTGTGTGTGTGGTGAGAACACTTAAGATCTACTTTTCTTAGCAAATTCCAACACCACACAGTATCATTAACTGTAGTCACCATGCTGTACATCTCTAGAACTTACTCATCCTGCATGACTGACACTTTGTGCCCTTGAGTCAACACCTCCCCATTTTCCCCACCCCGCCTGCCCCTGGCCACCACCACTCTCTTCTCTGCTTCTATATGTTCAACTTCTTTAGATTCCACAGTATTTGTCTTTCTGTGTCTGGCTTATTTCACTTAATGTCCTCCAGGTTAACCCATGCTGTCAAAATGGCAACATTTTCTTTTTCCTCGTGGCTGAATAATATTCCATCGTGTACATGTACCACGTTTCCTTCACTCATTCATCCATCGACAGACACTTAGGTTGTTTCCATATCTTGGCTGTTATGAATAATGAACATAGGAGTGCAGATACCTCTTTGAGATACTGATGTCATTTCCTTGGGGTTTATTCCCAGAAGTAGGATTGCTAGATTATATGGTAGTTCTATTTTTAGTTTTGAAGAACCTCTATGTTGCTTTCTATAATGGCCACGCCAACTTACATTCCCACTGACAGTTACTAGGGTTCCCTTTTCTCTACATCCTCTTGCTGTCTTGCCATCTTCTGGCTTCTTGATATTAGCCATTTTAACAGGTGTGAGGTGATATTGTGGTTTCAATCTTCATTTTTCTGATGATTAGTGGTCAGCATCTTTTTCTATCATCTGTAAACAGTGACAGATTTACTTCTCTTTTTTTCCAGTTTGGTTGCCTTTTATTTCTTTTTCTGTCTGATTGCTCTGGCTAGGACTTCCAATACTATGTTGAATAGAAGTGGTGAGAGTGGGCATCCTTGTCTCATTCCCGATCTTCAATGGAAAGCTTTCAGCTTTTCACTGTTAAGTATGATGTTAGCTGTGGATTTGCCATATATCACATTAGCTTTTAACTTTGGAAAATTCCACTGGATATATTCAGCCAAAAAGGAGCACAAGAAATCACAATTTACATCAATCCAACATAGTGTAAAAATTTTTGTTTTAAAAAGATACATTGCTGTATACTTTTTACTATCTTCCTTAATAGGATTGCAGTCAGAAAACCGTGTATCTCTTCTTTCTGGGTGATTAAAGAATAGTCAAGGGCATTTTTGATTCTAGGCATTTCTTTGGCTTCCCTATTCCTCAGAACTAATGTCCCACATGAAATTCAATCCCTTTGCTATCCTGACAGGAGGTACCCTCTCTCTCTGGTACTGAAAGGACAGATGCAGTGGCCTCTCTATAAATACCTGCCTTGCTTTTGTTTCCTAGTGAGAGATTTTCAAGTCAACATTACGGCTGAGAGCACGGTTCCTGAAGGGAAACCCTTGGAACTGATTTGCCTGGTCGTGGGCGGCGGCCAGAACCCGCAGCTTCAGGGCACTTGGTTCTTCAATAATATTGAAACAGCCCGCATTGATGCCGGTGGAGTTCTGGGCCTGAAGAAAGACTACCAAGAAAGAGCAAATCAGGGGCAGCTCCAGGTTTCAAAGTTAAGCCCCAAGGCTTTCTCTCTCAAGATCTTCTCTGTGGGCCCAGAGGACGAAGGTGCCTACAGATGTGCAGTGGCAGAGGTGACAAGAGCTCAGATGGGCCCCTGGCAGGTGCTTCAGAGCAAGCAGTCACCGGACAGCCTCGTGCACCTGAGGAAGCCAGCAGGTATGTGAAGCTGGGACCAGACACTATTGGGCTGCTTTTAGATGCCCTCTTTTGTGACCCAGGATGCCTTCATGGACACAGTGGCGGTCCCCTGAAGTCAGGTGTCAATCAGGTCACTTTAAGGTGAAGTAGAAAGGAAAGCACCAAAACCAGCTGAAGACCTAAGTCATTTTCCCGGGCCGTCGAATTGGCCGTGTCCGCGAACACACCACACTCTCTACCTCTCCAAATCTCAGCTTCCTCAGCCGTAAGTTAATGGCATCCACTTAGACTGTCCTTAAGTTCCTCTTGCTGCCTAAGATTCTATGATTCTATTTGCTGTTATTCCTAATTTTTGTACTTTGGGTTTTCTTTAAGCAGAGAACACCTGTAGTAATGAAGCCCTGTGTCTTTTTCTATGTGTGTGTGTTTTGAGTGGGTTAAGAGGAAAGAGCTTACACTGGGCTCCTTTCTGGGAAATAAACACCCACGTTATTCCTCCTACTCCCCAGACAGCTTGCAGATGGCTTTCATCAATTCTCTGTTATTTTGACCTGATACAAGGAAGGATCCTAAGTCTTAATTCTGCATCAAAGCATAACTCAGAGTAAGAAAAGAAGTCGATGGTAGTGGACAGACTCTCTTGCCTGCACGTTGCTGAGATGTGGTGACACGCCTGTCCAGATGGGTCTGAGTGTCTGTAGGCTTGAATCTGGAAGGACACTCCACTCTTGTTTAGTTTAGGAAGGCTGGGTGACTTTAAATATGTTTGAATAATCACTGCTTTTCATGTGGAGAGAAAACAGATAAATCCACAACTAATATTAGAATTCTCCAGGCTGGGTGTTAAATTCAGTGTCTAGAAAGATGAATTGCCCAAAAGCAGAAACAAAAACAGGCCAAAAAGGAAAATATCCTTGTTGTATAGAGGCATCTCCAAAAATAGGTACAGTTCCCTTTCGTGCTCTTCCCCATCGCCCCATTTGCTAGGAGTGAGGATGCACCGCTTTGGCCGAGAGTGGAGAGCCAGGAAGTGTGTTGGTGTTAGTTTTCACACTAAACATTTGGTCTGACTTTCTAGGATTCAGACAAAACTACGTAGGCGTGTTTACATATTTACACAGAGCTACATCTCAGCTTCATGCATTTCAGCCTCCGCTGGAGCAGCTCTGGAGCGAATCTTTCTCAAATGCAGGACGCGGGAATTTGGGCCAAAGGGGTCTGAAGGTATGCTTCATGGCACACAGATCACAAGCCTATCAGTAGGTGGCCTTCCCAAGCTAAAAATAACCCCCTGTGCAGGCTGGAGTCCAAACTGGGCCTAATATGTACGAACAGAAATGGTTGTTTTTTTTTTTAAGCAGATTTATTAAGAATCCTGTTGAGCATTTGATTTTGCAAGTCAAGCTCTTACTTCCAGGATGCGTAGAGTTTTATCATTCTATGACTGTTTTAAACAGAAGGGGGTACTCACTACGAGTATGACTGTGTAACTTACGCATGCTTGGTAAGTTTATTACTTCTTACCAAGAGGCTGTAATGACCACAATGAACTAAAGAAACTTGATTTTTTTTTTAAATTGAAGTTGGTTGAAACTAATCATAATAGTTACAGTAATGAGATTATGAGTAATAATTTCCCCTCTAATTTCTGAACTTCAGTTTTGAGTCTATTTTTAACTTGAAAAAAATTAAGTATAATTATCTTCTAATACCCCAAATTCAGAAGCAAGTTGTATTTTTATATATATATATATATACTCGCACGTATACGTGTGTGTGTGTGTGTGTGTGTGTGTGTGTGTGTATTCGTTCTTTTTAGCCTATTCATGGGCATTAGCCTTCATTCTGCCTTTGTAACATATACATTTATACATAAAGCGGTGAAGACTGAACTCCTTCCTCAACAGGGAAGAACAATTTGCAAATTCATTTAGATCCTATTAAGGTTTCTAATGCCAGTTCTGTTTTATTTGCTTCTTTTGGCTTTGAACTCCTATGCTTTCACAAAATGCCTGTCTTCACATATCAATGCTAATAGCTCACCTTTGCTGGGTACTTCCCTTTGCCAGCGAGGCTAAGCCCTTTGCACGTGCTATTCATTCAGTCCTTGCAGCAGTGCATAAGGGAGGCGCTGTCATTGCCACCATATTTAGAGGAAAGGAAATTGAGGCTGTGTTGCTCAGGATAATTCTGACTCCAAGGACCTTGGCTTTAAACATGAGACTGGGCTGCCTTGGGTGCATTTGCTCCTGAAGAGTCTTTGCATTCCCCACAAAGCACCCAGGACAAGGCGTTGCACAGAAAGTGTCTGTTGAAGGAATATCTGCTTTTCTACACACCTTGAATTTCCCATCTGGGAGCCAGATTTACATTTATTTATAGTTTTATACTATAGTTCAGATAGAGGAAGGATCTCCCTTCAACCAACAATATATATGTATGAGTAACTCATTTGAAAAAAAGGAAAAACATAGATATGTGCATTTCCCACCTCCTCAAGTAATTATTTAATGGCAGTATTTTGAACAGAAATCTAACAATACTACTTCCCTGTTCAGAACACATAGTAATTAGGGAAAGATAAGGAAGCAGAGGAAGATCATTTTGAAATGTGAAAGTCTGAATTCCAAAAAACTAAAGATTTAAATAAACACATCTCGATTACTTTCAACCTCATACACCCACCCTAATTAATTTAACAAAATATCAGCAGATGTTTTCCCACCTAGACGTTCCAAAGGAAGGCTGATTTAACAAATCACTGAAAATAAGGGCACATTATAAATTGTTTAAGTATAAATAAGCTTCTCCTGGTATTTTTTCTGCTGTCTTGTTTCCACTATCTGAGTGTTTAGCAAATCTTTCTGATTTGTCACAAACTAACCAAGTCCTAATTAATGAGATTTCACTTCATTTACTTGAAATACTTTTTTCTTCTAAATCTGTAATCCACAGCAAGAAACGTGGTTTTGTCTACCAAGAACAAGCAGCAAGCGGTGTGGGAGGGAGAGACGTTAACCCTTTTCTGCAAGGCAGATGGAGCTGAAAGTCCCTTGTCCGTGACCTGGTGGCACGTCCCACAAGACCAGACACAGCCAGAGTTTGTGGCTGGCATGGGGCAGGATGGCACCGTGAAGCTGGGTGCCTCCTACGGCGAGCTCAATAACCCCAGCAACACAAGGCTGGAGAAAATGGACTGGGCCAGCTTCCAGCTGAAGATCACCTCCACCACCATCACAGACAGCGGCACGTATGAGTGCAGGATGTCTGAGAGGACCCGGAACCAGGGCAGAGATCTGAACTGGACTCAGAAGATATCAGTCACTGTGAAACCTCTGAGTAAGTGTCAGGGAAATCCCTCTTAAACTTGCATAGCTTTGGCCTCTTCCTTTTGCAGTGGAATGCAGTGGAATTGGACTGTGTGTCATCCTGAGTCCCTCGTTATAGCACAGGTGCCCCAGGACAGAGCAGAGTCTCTGGCTACCACGTGTGTCTGTCCACTGATCTCATCTTTATAAAGATCATCTTTCCAGTGCAACTTGTAAGTTGTTATTCGAGGCTAAAAAACAAAATCGTATGAATTGGAGTAGGCTTACATAGAAGAGTTATGCCAGTTGGAGCTGAGCCTCGTACATTCAGGCTTCTGACAGCTGCAGCCCTGGGATTGCAGAGTCTCTCCCAGCATGTGCGAAAGAGAATTACTGCCCCTGAGAGTCGGGGTAAGGGGAGGAGGCCAGCCGGCGGGGCTGGGGAGCGCTCCACCCACGCAGCAGCAGCTGTCTAAGCAGCAGACCGGAGAAACACTGCCTGTTTGTTGTCGCTGCTGAGAACACTCTTAGCAGAGGGTCAGCTTTAGAAAACCGAGGTCAGAATTCAGGACAGACTGTACTGTGAATCAACTTCTACCCCCCAATATTGGATACTCCCAATGTATGAACACATGGTTCAGTGTGACGAGGTGGTGACTAGGGAAATTTGGAAGCCCTGTACCTGGATTTTTTTGATGACCGTGTCTGAAATTCTGTTTCACATTTCTGCCCACAGAGTCAAGTCTGCAAGTTAATCTGCTGAGCCGTCAACCTCAAGTGAAATTAACCAACACCTTCGACCTGTCCTGCGTCGTGAGGGCTGACTACCCAGACCTCAAGGTTCCACTCACTGTGATGTGGCAGTTCCAGCCAGCTGGGTCTCGAGACTTTGATCTGCTTGTTCGAATTGCCCATAATGGCACAATCGAATGGGGGGACTTCCTACCCCAGTTCCAAAAGAAGACGAAGGTTTCACAGTCTTCATTTCTTTCTCAACTCCTAATCCATGATGCCACCGAGGAAGAAGCAGGGGTTTATCAGTGTAAAGTAGAAGTTTATGGTGGACATTGTCTTCACAGAAACGGCCCCTCACGGGCTTCTGCCATCTCACACCCCCTGAGGATAGCCGTCACTCTACCAGGTGAACACCACTTGAAATTAATCCTTGCTTTTTTTTTTTTAATAAACAGTTTTCCTGTTTGGGGTAAGGTATAGAATTAAAGCATAAAATACCTTCTCCTCATGTTTGTACTGTGTAAGTAAGCATCATACATAAGTGATATCCAGGAAAGGAAGGGGAGTAAATTAGGAGTTTGGGATTAACAGATACACACTACAGTATATAAAACAGATAAACAACAAGGGCCTCCTGTATAGCACAGAGAACTACATTCAATGTCTTTTAATAACCGATAATGGAAAAGAATCTGAAAAAGAACATATATATATAGACACAAAACACGCTCATATATATAAAGCTGAATCTCATTTCTGTATGACTCAAACATTGTAAATCAACTATAATTCAATTTGAAAAAAAGCAACCAGAAATAAAAACAAAAGCAAAACAAAAAAATAATAAGTGATATCCAGTTTAACGTTAAGCTAGTATGCACAAAATGGCCATGCTGGTTGTTAAAACATTGAAATACTTCCACACTGATTAATAATAACTGTTGCCTCTTGCCCATTTCCCATCAGTCCCCACCACTCAGCAACAAAAGGGCACCACATGGCACAGCAAAGGACCCCTAAGGCTAGTCAGTGGTGAGGCATTCTTTCAGATTGGTCACTGGCCATGCCTACGGTCATTAAATGTTTTGAATGTCTCCCCTAGTAGTATGGGTAATAGAAATTCCATTAGAATACATGTATCCACTTATTTTTCTGTGTTACTGTTTAAGATTAGAACATTCATGTTTATAGTCAACACGGTTTTCCTTGTCAGCTGGTCCTAGAGCACAGAGCATAAAAGTAAGACATGACCTTCGCAAATTCTGTGCCGTGTGTCTTGCTCCGTGACTTCCATTCTCCTACGGCAGAGTGCGCAAGAGCCTTTGTTGTCATTTAGATCTGACGAGCACTGGATAGCAGCATCACTTTGTACAAGATGTGTAATCCATCCAAACCTAGTGACCCCATGTGTAAATTGCAGATGTGCAATTTAAAGGTGGTGGCGTGGCAGGTACAGTGCCTGACATCCCAAGCTGATGCTCAGACGTGGTAGCTGTCAGTGTTGTCTCTGCTACCGAGCGGTACTTCTGGTAATAGCAATGATCTCCTGCTGATTAACTCATGCCTTAACTTACTTGTCCTTTCTGTGGTATTTGAAATTGTTGGTCCAATCCTTTCTTCTTGAAACTTCTTTTTTTCTTGGTCTTAATAACACAGGATTTTCTTGGTTTCCTTCCTAGCACTCTGACTGCTCCTTCTCATTCTCTTTTGCAGAATCCTCCCCTTCCACTGATTCTTCCCTTTGGGTTTCTTCCTCAGCGAGCTCTCTTTTCATTCTGTACAGTCCCCCAAAGTGGGCTTATTCCCAGAGTGGGTTAATCCCATGGATTCAACCTATATATTAACAATTCCCAAATCCATTATCCTGAAAGACTTTTCTTTGGATCTCCAGGCAATTGCCTCCAAGGCATGTCTACACTCAATACGTCAAAACATAAATGCACCATTATTATCCCTCCAAGCTACTCCTCTTACATTGTTCTCTGTGTGTCCCCACCATCTCCCAGTGACCCAAGTAAGAAACCCGAGTCGTCCACCACTCCTCCACATCCACCTCATGTCCAGACTCCCATAGCACGGCAGGCAAGGTCCTTTGTAATTTGGTACATTTATGTCCTTCCACTGTCCATCTTGACCTTGAGCTCCAGCCACATGGAACTACCTGCAGTTCATCAAGCACTCTACGCTCTCTCTTACCTTTAAAGTCTTTGTTCAAGTTGCTTCTTTTGTGTGGAATCCCTTAATATCTCCATCAGATTAATTCCTATTAAATCTTGAGACTTAGCTTAGAGATCTCTCCCTCAGAAAGACCCCCACTCCCACGTTTGGGTTAGACGGTCCTGCCATGTGCTGGGATGGCCACCTCTGCACACTTCTGTCCCGCTTGGGTGACACAGTCCTGTCCTCTCTCAGCTGCTGTGCCAGTGCCAGTCTCTCCCTCTAGGAGGTAAACCCACTGAGGGGAGGCATCCACAGAGCCTGGAATAGCCTGGCACATAATACAGCGTGTGCTTAATAAACGTTTATGGAAGGAAGAGTAAGGGGACTTGCTGACAACATCAATAAGCCGTTACAGAGTAGAACTGGTCAAGTCAGCAAGAAGTTAAGAGTAAGATTCGGAAGCCAGGTTTTACTCTTCATCTTTCTGACAAAGCAGAAAATCTCCGGGGTTAAAGGATGGTTGACTACCTATCCATACGGTGTTCCCATAGCTGAGTGGCTGCAAAGAGACGCACAATTTTAATAGCTCACATACAACTTCGTCTTGTTTATGCATGTTCGCAGGCGATACAACTAGGCTAAGGCAAATTGTGAATCCAGACGTACACTGGATAGTGACCCCACAGGCAAAGTGTTACATGGCCACTTGCTCACCATTCGATTTATGAAATGCTACAGATGTCTGTTCCCAAATACTGAAGCATTATCAAGTGGAAGAGATCGACTTTTCTGGATGATGCTTCCTCCCCACCCTACCCTCCCCATCCCACTCCTCCGGGGCAAGGGCAGAACCAGAACCCATGGACAGAAGTTATGAGGAGGTAAAATTCAACTTGATTCCAGAAAGAATTCTCTAGTGGCAGAGCTGTCCAAAGATGGAATGGGTGCTTGGTCAGTTAGTGAGTTGTTCGGAGGCTGCAGGAGCAGTTAGTGGGGCTGCTCAAGAGGGAATTCACACATCTGATGGATGTAGGAGGCATTGCCTTTGTTGACCTCTCATGTCCCTTCTGCCTTCCAGTTCTCTTTTTCTAGCAAAGTAACAAAAGTAACCGTTACCATTCTTTTCATTTAGAGAGCAAGCTGGAAGTGAATTCAAGCAGTCAAGTCCAAGAGATCTCCATCAACTCTAACACTGACATAGAATGTAGCATCTTGTCCCAGTCCACTGGCAACCTCCAGTTAACCATTATTTGGTACTTCCATCCTATTTCCACTGATGCATCCTGGCTGAAGATCCTGGAAATGGACCGAACCAATGTTGTCAAATATGGGGACGAATTTCAGAGCCCACGGAGAAAACAAAAATTCCATGCCGAGAGAGTTTCCCAAGGCTTGTTTCAGCTGCACCTTCTGAACGTGGAAGACAGCGATCAGGGCAAATATTACTGCGCTGTGAAGGAATGGCTCCAGTCCACAAATAGCACTTGGCACCAGCTTGGAGAAAAGCAGTCAGGTCTCACGGAATTGAAACTCAGGCCCACAGGTAAACCTTGCAGGGGTGTCCTCACACATCTTTCTGCAGAACTGCTGCCTTCTCTTGGGCAGCTGTTCTACGAAGTGATTATATGAAGGTGAAACTGTGACCTAGAGTTGTAGGAATAGTGGCCACCTGCACGATGACCACAGGACCGGGTGGCCCACCAGCGGAGACGGGGGTCATTTACGGTGAGTCGGTCTGAGATTTGGAGGTGGCTGGACGGGAGCAAGTCTCTGCGAGTGGTTTGCGTCTCAGCCCGGCAGCCTGGTCTCTGCAGCTACCCAGGGTACCGTATCTCCCGATCTCTGTAACAGCAAGCTGTGTCATTCCAGTGGGGCTCTACTGTAATTTGGCAGAGAAAGAGTAACATGAAGCATATTTCTCCCACTGTGAACAGAAACCGTACAACTCTATAGGGATGTGTGGAGAAATTGCTTTTCAACATTTGGCTGCCTAAACATAAGGCAAGTAAGAGCAGTTAACTGTTGGAATGGCCTAGTGAGGGCATCTCCTCCACCTCAGGAGGCCTTTAAAAATGCAGTAGGAGTTCCATCCCTCTGCACTGGTCCATGAGCGCTGTGGTCTAAACGTGGGCAGGGTTGATTAGATCTGTCAGTGTTAGTTCGGTCACCTCCAGCGTTGATTAAAATTAAATGAATGTCACAGCTAAGGTTCGGGAACTGGCCGAGATCCAACAACACGATGCAAATAAGTTAATCCAGTCTGGGGCTGAAAATTCTATTTTCAATGTAACATCAAAAAACAAGATTATAATGAACGTTGCCATGGGTTAGGCAATTAGGGATCCACTAAGGCGCCGCCTTCAGGAGCTCGCAGTCTGTTGGGAGCAGCAGGGGCGAAGTAGTAACCCGGCGCCAGGGTCTCATCCTGCCGCTCCGGCGCCCGTCCTCCGTGCTCTCCAGACCCCTCCTCCGCGCCCTGCTAAATGCAGGTGTCCTCAGGGACACCTAAGCCCATTTTTCTCCTTACTCTCTGCTGTCTTCAGAACCACTTAAACACTGCCTTTGTTCCAACTACCACCTTCAGTGAAACAGCTCTAAGTCTTAGCCCCCTTCTCCTGAACTCCAGGCCCTCCTACCCAACTGCCTGACCCACATTCCCACTTGGCTCCCACCCAGCGTGTCCCAAATCATCCTTATGTCCCACGTCATCATCATGGCGTTCACATCTTAGCCATCCCACAAGACTCACGCACCCTTCATTCTCCATCTGTGTGGCCAACATCCCTTTCTCCTGGTGGACCAAGCCAAACTGTGACAGGGTGTGCCCACCTCTTTACAAAGTACACACCACTTCTTGACTCTAGCCAACGCTTCCCATTCAGAAACGCTGGCCCTGTGCTGTCCAACCTTTTAGTACATCAAGGGATGCCTAAAACCTTTTTTGGTGACATCTCTGAGAATGTCCATAATGATTTCAAATTCTTTTAAAATCCTGAAGATGTCGAATAAGACATATTTGTGGGCTGGGTGTGTTTGGCTGGGGGTAGCCAGCTGTGCACCCTGGTGTGGGAAGTGAGTTAAGGAAGAAGCCCCAGGGAACAGTACTGAGAAGGATTGGTCAGAAATGGCAGGAGGGATATTTTCTCTGAAATCAGTAGAGAAAAGTTCAGAAGAAAATGGATTTCAGTGGCAGAAACCGCAGAGAGGACAAAAAAGACTAGAGGATCTCTTGAGCTGGGAAGTTGAGCCTTTACTTTGGCCAGAGTGTAGTGGTGGGGTTGGAAGGCTGATTGCAATAGAGTAGGGAGTAATTTGAGGTGAGGAAGGAAAGACAGGACCACAGAAACTATTTCACATGCTCCTCCATGAAGAGAAGGAGAGAGTAAAGTTGGTAACTAAAAAAGAACCCCAGACTGGACAAAGCTGTTCTTTTCAAGACAGATTAATAAATCTGTTTGTGGTAGAGTTGAAAATTTAGTGCATACTGTAGTTTCTTTGTTTTGTTGGAACTAATCTAGCCTTCTTTCCAAGTTCTCACCTGCTGGTGATCTAGGGAACATTTTTAAAAAGTAAATGTCAAAATCTTTTTAAAACTTAGTCAAATCCAACAACGTAGTCTCTAACACATGGATAAAGATGTTCAGTCTCTCGGATAGCCTCCTCGTTCCTTGTGTCTATACCTGAGGTGACACACCTGAGTGTATGGGAGGAGGCTCATTTGCTAAGAAAAAGGGGCAGTGGTGGCATATTCAACTTGAGGGGAGGCTGGAAGTGTTGAAGGGCCCCTCTGGGAAGCAGAAGAGAGAGCTGACCTGGGAGAATTAAGGGCAGCAGGGCAGAGTGCCCACCAAAGCTGGGTGGTTTTTCGTGGCAGGTCCAGTAGGCAAGAGGGAGGCTGAAGAAGGGAAGTGGCTGGCTTGGTTCACAGTAGACAATGTTCTGGCCAATATGGAAGGAGGACAGGGATCAAGGAAAAGCATTCACAGTGGAGAACCTGATGTCATCTTCAGCGACAGCTGGACTGTTCAGAGGAGGTGTCCAATCTGAAGTCTGGGTTCCTCCCTAACTTACGGCCATTTTATTTCCTAGGAAGCAAGGTACGTGTCTCCAAAGTGTACTGGACAGAAAATGCCACTGAGCACAGAGAGGCGACCATCCACTGCAGCCTGGAGAGTGCCGGCAGCCCAGCCTCCCTGTTCTCTGCGACGTGGTACCGGAACAGAGGAAATCCTGCAAGTGAGATGCTGGCTCACCTGCAGCAGGACGGCTCGCTGGAGTACGGTGAAGAGGGGCTCAGGAGGCGCCTGCTCTCATACCGTTCATCCCCTACAGACTTTGTCCTGAAGTTTCAGCGGGTGGAGATGGAGGATGCGGGCATGTACTGGTGCAAGGTGGCAGAGTGGCAGCTACACGGCAACCCAAGCAAGTGGGTCGCCCAAGCGTCAGATGAGTCACAGCATGTGGTGCTCACGGTGCTGCCTTCAGGTAACTAGGGATCCCCCAGCCGTGGCTCCTGGCTGGGAGACTCTTTGTCTCTCCTCCTGTGCTCTCCCTCCAACTGTGTTTTGCTTCTTTTCAGGCTGAAAGCAATGTACAGACTCCCTGAAGAAAATGACTTTGCCCTTTCTCTCGGTAGTGACTCATCTGACAGATAAGATCGACATGAGGTTTTGGCATAGTTTTCTCCTTTTTTCCTTTTTACTGAAGTATAATTGGTTTGCAATTTTGTATTAACTTCTGGTGTACAGCACAGTGATTCAGTTATACGTATACTTATATTCCTTTTCATATTCTTTTTCATTATGGTCTATTACAAGATATGAATATAGTTCCCTGGCCTTACAGTAGGACCTTGTTGTTTATCTGTTTTATGTGTAGCAGTTTGTATCTGCTAATCCTGAATGTCAGGGGCATCTGACCTCTTCTCCCACTTCCCCTCTTAAACAGAAAAAGCCATCAACATTGTATCTTAAGTAACCAAATAATGTTTGAAGCAGACATACTTACCTCTTAGCTGATTCTTCAGTCTCAGAAAGCACATCTACAGTGGGAGTGGAAATGAGGAAGAGGGACATGGGGCCTTTATGTTTGATCTGGTTGAGCCAAAATCAGCCACATCTAAATGCTCCCTGAGTCATAAACCAACCAAACAAAGAAAAAAGCCTTTCTCAATGAATGAGTGCCAAGCTTCTTACCTATGGGTTCAACAAACTACCTTGACCCTGAGAATGACAGATGTTTGGTATGCCTCTCCTAATTGCACCTTGAAAGGCACCAAGGAAGGAAATGGGCCCTGTGGAACTTGTCTGCAGGCTCCAGCACGGGAGGCAGTGACTTGAAGACCATCAGCCAAAGGGTGACCCTTCTCCGTGTGGGAAGGTCGTCCTTGTGCTGAGCGCCCAGCTTCCGGAGGCATGCGAAACAAGAGTTTGTGGAGGAGAGGGCTTCCTTCCAGCCAGTGCATGCCAAGCCTATAATAGGCATTCATTAAGCAAAACTGTCTCCAACCAGACCAGTAAATCTCCCCCAGTGATCAATGAGCCACAATGAGATGCTGTAGCCAGCTGATTGTCTGAGCCATTTCTTTCCAATGGGGTTTATGGAGAAGGTGAGAGGTGAGCTCTATGTGAAACTTACAGTGGGAAAGGGTCACTGGAGAGGCAGCGGTGTGGTCTTGCTGCCCCATATAGGGAAGGGTTAAAAGGATCAGTAAAGATAACATCTCTACAACACCAGCTAGCTCCTGGGACACTCCATGGGAGGGAGAGTGTGCTAGGGAAGGAGAGGTACCTTTTCAGAGTAGGCATAGCTGCATCCCAGCCCCAGCAGGGCTTCTGGGGGGGAAGTCAGTTACCTAACTTATTCCCTGAGGGGCCATCATTCTCCTCCCACCCATTCTTCAGCAGCATTTTTCTTCCAAGTATCCAGGCAGAATTTATCTTCCTATGAGCTTTTCTTCCATTCCAACAATTCTAGGAAGTCCCACACCCTGAACACATTCCATCCGTGTTTTCCCACTGGAATTCCCAGGCCCTGTAGAATCAGCAGTTTTTGCAGAATAAACAGACAATAACTGTAAAAAGTCTATATTCCGTGACTAAAAAGCACCTCTCTTCTGAGACAGATGGGGGTCCTTCATAGCGTATATTTACTGTTAGTCTTTGTGGAATTCTTATAAAACAGGTGTGAGGTTTTAAGAAGATGAGCTTTGGAAAGAAAACGTGACAAACTAAGTAGTCTTTGTATTCTTCACAACTGAAGAAGCTTGAAAGCCTGTGCCACGGCGACCTGAGGGTTTCCACTGTGAGCACCGGCAGGTGTTCCCAAGGAAATCCTTCTCTTAGAGCATCTCGCTTCCTCTACCTGGCTGGTCCTTTCTGGTAGTTGGGTAAGCAGTGTGGGGCAATGAAAAATCCCAGGTTTGGAAGGAGACAAGCCTAGGCTCAAATTGCAGCTCTGTCACCTACCTAGTCGCTGTGAAATCATATCCTGGTTACCTAAACTCTGTGAGCCTCAGCTTTCTCATTAAATGAGAATCATAATACGAATGCATATAAAGTATCTGGCACAGACCCTGGCATATTCTAAGTGCTCAACAAATGTCAATTCCTTTTCCCCTTATGTCTCAAACATGCCACACACACACACATATGCACCCACATGCACATATACAGGTACATATACACATACATATATATGACAAAATATTTAAATTTGTTCAGTGAATAACTATATGAGGTCCTGGGGCACACAAAAATGTATTACAGAGTCTGTTCCCACAGAGCTCAGAGGCCGGTGGGGGAGATAAAGTCCAACATGATAGATGTCATTAAAGAAATGGTCTCAGGAGACTTAAGGAAGGAGCAGAGAGAGGCAGGGCTGAGATAAAGGGCTAGGTGGGGAGGAGATCTGTGAGAGTTCCGAGAGTATGGGGCCTATGAAAAGGAAGACACGTGTTTTAGGAAAAGGAAAGGATATGCAAGATGATCAGAGAAACTGTGTTAGGATGGCGAGAGATGAGGCTAGTGGAACGGAAAGGTTGTGGATCTCAGTGGGTCTTGTGTAGGAAGCTAGGGAAGGTGAACTTTATCCCGGAAGTTAGAGTGTCATTGCACAAGTTCAAGCAGTGGAGGGTGACCCATCAGATTTGCATTTTGGAAAGCTCCCCCTGGGAGTGGTGTTAAAAATGAATTGAAGTTGGGGAGGGTGTAGCTCAGTGGTAGAGCTGCTGCTTAGCATGTATGAGGTCCTGGGTTCAATCCCCAGTACCTCTGTTAATTAATTAATTAATTAATTAAACCTAATTACCACCCCCAAATTTTTTTAATGAATTGAAAGGGAGGAAGGCACGAAGCAGGAAGAACTATTTGAAATTGATCGTGGGGACCCAGGTGAGGCATGATGAAGTCCTGAATGAAGGCAGTACCCAGGAGTGCTGAGGGGACAGGTGCTCGTATGAGGAGACGCAGTCCTCAGGATTTAGAGGATGAGGTGTATATGGAAGGTGAATGAGCAGAAGAAGAGACTCAAGGGTGAGTGGACAGTGGGGACACTCACTAAGTGAGGTGATACAGAAGAAAGATCTGAAGGGGAACATTAGTTCAATTTTGAATAAGTTGGGCTGGACTTGAGTTTGGAGTACTGGTAAATTATCCAGGGAGATCTATCCAGTAGGCTTTGAAATTTCCAAATGAGATCTCTGCCAGAGTTATAGAAGTCATCATCTTACAGCCTATAAAGATGCCCAAGGATGGACCCCTGAGATACACCACTGTTTATCTGGGGGCTGCAGAAGAGGGGCTATGAAGGAGAATGGAAAGCGTAGCCTAGAGGTAGGAGAACCAGGGTTCAGTGGTATCACGGAAACCAAAGGCAGGACAGATATCAGGAGGGAAGGCAGAGCCAACAGACTCAACTGGTGCAAAGAGGCCAATTAAGATGAAGATGGGAAAATATCCATTGGTTTAACAAGATAGGGCAATTACAGAAAAGTTGTGAGAAAAGTCAGACTGCGGTGAGAAAGTGGACACATCAAATCCAGATTATGCTATCAAGAGCTTTGATGCCAAGGGAAAGAGAGAAGACAATGTCAAATGGCAGGAGGTGCAGTGAAGCTTTGCTTTGTTCTGTTTTGGTTTGGAGATGGTAGGAACTCGAGCACATTTACATTCTGGAGGGAGACAAGCCAGTGGAGAAGAAGAAGATGAAGATTAGAAGAGAATGGACATGACTAGCAGTCTAACATCTTGCATGAACTTACACCCTGATTGGAATGCTCCTTCATGTCATCTGTCCCTGCTCAATACTTACTAATCCTTCACCGACCAGCGTAACTGCCACTTTCTCAGCAACTTACCTTAGTCTCTTAGTCATCACACCTGTTTATCACCCATCATCAGTGCCAAACTATACGTTGTGAGAAGGCTAAGACTGTCTGGTTCTCAGCAACAGCATAATGTCTGGCACAAAGAAGGTGCTCAAATACTTACTTAATCACAGTATAATTGCACTCCTGATAAGGACCAGCTCTGTGTATTAATAAGGTCCATGTCAAATATAATAGGCTACGAATTCTCACTTCTCAAATGGTTTCCCACCACCTCTACTTGGCAGTTCTGGGTTGGGTTAATTTAGGACTGTATAAGAGAACTGTGAAGCATGTGGCTAACGTGAAGGCAGAGAAGTTGAGAGGTAATTCCCTGGTGGAATGCACCTCATGTTTTCCTCTCCATCTTACATCCTTGGCTGTGACCAAGCCAAAGCAGGGGCTACAGCTACCTGATTCTAGAGAACTCGCTGTGATTAATTAATAGGCAAGGTTCTAAAGCTTCAGGGGGGCTGGATTATTCGTAGCAGTACAGGATTTATTACTATTTCCCAGATTTTCTTTGGGTAAGGCTGTATTTAGAAGTGGATCCTCAGAAGAGCTATGGGCCCCTATCACACTGGTGTTTCTGGAGAGAACTTGTCATTTGTCTGTGCTACCCGGTGCCTCCAATAAGGCCTGGCACACAGTGCTCAGCTCAAAAAAAGCTTGATGAATGAATGAGCAAGTGAGTCTTCAATGGAGGTGAAACGAGCGCTGTCAGAGGTTCACTTCCTCTGAGAGGCTCTTGTATCAGGTTCCCTAACCCTGCTTTGACTTCTTGGCTGGAGCTGCCTCTCCCACGTGGCCACACCTGGCACGGCCAGTTGCCAAAGTCTGGATTGCGTTAGGGGAGGAGTTGGTAGGGGCTCCGATATCTTCTACCTTTCTTCTAAAGTCAGTGTTAGAAGGGAATTCTCTTAGTGATAGGTTTAGCCGTGGGTAGAAGCAGGTTATAAACTAAACTTCGTGATGAAGTGTTCCCATTACATTTTTGGCTCTGTCTTACAGGCCTTGTACTCTGAGCCCTGGGCACTTACTCGGATTGATTCAAAATGCCAAACCTTAATGGTTTTGCATGTCGCTAATACTGATCCAGATCTGGGCGAGAGGCAGAGCAAACACTGCCCTCCCGGGAGAGGTCATTTAGAAGCAGTGGAGCTGACAGTTCCTAGCTGGTGTCTAATTCAGCACCGCAAAGAGCACCCTTTGTCGACCTTTGATGGCAGATTGCTCTCAGCGGAACAGACTCCTCCCCATTTAGACAGTCAAGCCCTCTGGCAGTCCCTTCATGCAGAAGGTGAGAGTGTCAGTGGCAGAAAATTCAAGTGCCAGATTTCTTTCTACCTCCTATGTGCCAGTCCCATCTCCCCATCATCCCACCATCATCCTAGCAACGGCGACACATGGGTGCCATGGACTCTTACCTCCCAATTCTCTGCCTCCCATGATTAAAAAAGGAAGCCACAGTCTCCTAAATAATCATTTGACTCTCAGCTGAATGTCACTCAGCCCTGGGGACAGAGAGATCAGAGATTTAAGGGAAAGACTTGGCCTGTGGAAGAACATGGCCAAGCCTGTGGTCCCTGCGTGAGGAAATCGGCAGGCTCAGCTCTGTTTCTGCCTGGTCACTTGGGAAGAAGTTGCCTATGATTTCCCTAACTTTCTCAATAGCACTCTAGCTAATATTTATTCCTTGCTGACTCAACAGATGGGCTAGGCGCTGTTTAATGCTTTATTCGGCATTATCTCATCACGACTCTACAAATGATTATCCTCATTTGATTGACAAGGAAACTGATGATTAGAGAGGATGAGTAACTTGTCCCAAATCAGTGAAGAGCCAGAACTTGGACCCAGTTCTCTTTGAGATGTAGTAGGGGCCCAGTCACTACTCTGCACACAGCGGGAGGGTATAGTTCAAGCGGTAGAGTGTGTGCTTAGCATGCACGAGGTCCTGGGTTCAATCCCCAGTACTTCCATTTAAAAAACTAATTAAATAAGTGAATCTAATTACCTCCTTCCCCAAAAAATACCAACAGCAACTACTCTGCACACAAGTGGTGTGAAGTATCAAGGCCAGAACTCTCACCCACTGGTCTCTATAGCTCCGCTCTCTTTCAGCCTTGCAGTCTATTCCTCCTGCTTAGCCATATGCCTTCAAATGTATTCAGATGAGACCTGGGAGAATTATTGTAGTCAAGCAGGGCCTTGGAGGGAAGGGCCAGGTAGGATGTGGAGAGGGGCTGATAAAGAGTTCAAACTCTTGCTTTATCGTTTGCCCACACTTTCAAAGACAAAAACCAAATTTAGGATGGAGAATATAAACGAGACCAGAGAAGATCCAAGCAGCAAAGCCCTGCAGCTCCTTCCCTGCTCAGAGCTGCCAGCCTAATGTTCAGTGATGGTCTACTCTGTGTAACATGACGGCAGCAGCGCCTGGGTCCCTGGGTGTGGAAGCCACTCATGCAGTTGACTCATTCGTTAGTCCCCATTGATGCCAAAGTGCTACGCAGGAGAAAAGATGCATGAGATGTAGGTTCTGTCCTCCAGGAGTTTTCTTTGCAGAATTTGGACACGTTTAGATTCTTTCTTGACTTCCAACAAAGAGATGTTCTTCAAGGTGTGAAATGCATCACCGATGCCAAAAGTGAAATTCTTACAATATGAGGTTGGTCAAAATGACCTTTAAACCTGTTGTCTTTATCTCTAAGAGTCTGTAATCCTATGAATCCTATGGCTTAACCTCAGAGGAAGAAATTGCTTATGTCATTATGATTTTCCAATAACAGCCCAGCTATTGTTAGCATCAGATTTTTCAGAACAGCCCTGATTTCAAATATCCTGTTGTAAATAAATGTAGTCGGAAGACTTCATTTAGCAGTTGGTGTCTCTTTAAGCGTGTGTCCTGCATCAAAAACTGTAAATACCCCTCCTTTGACTAGTAGCTTGAGGCTCTCTTTCCTGGAGCCTGTGGTGTGTGCAGTCTTCCCTGGCTGCCTGGCCAGGCCCTGACCGCTTCAGGGCTGTTTGTCCGTGCTCTGAGTGTCCGTATGCCAACAGGGCTTCCCTGAGGACTGCAGCTGCCCGATGGCTGGGTGGCCGTGTGCTTCAGCCGGCCTTTATATCGGAGCGTTTGCCCATGTGGTTGCTGTCAATCCAGTTTAATTCAGATCAGCAAACGTTACCAAGGAGGTGCGCGAGGCACTACAGGGGCTAGAAAAACAAGCGACGCTATCAGACGTACTCCAATGACCATGATGATAAAGATGATTAAAGGGAACGCAAGAGGTCTAAACAAAGGCAGGTGTGAGAAGTTGAAAAAAAGAAGAGGAAAACTGTGCCTAAGGCCAGGTGGGAAGACAAGTGTGATGGGGAGCTAGGCCAGCAGGACCCAGGAGATTACGGTGCAGAGAGCATGCCCGGTGGAGGCGACAGTAAGAGTAATGGGAGGGGACCGTATGCGGGGGTGCCTGAGGACTGCGAGGCTGATTTGGAGATTGAGGAAGGGGTGGTGCTTCTCACTTGTGGGTGCTGTGGTTTTATAAGGACAGTGCAGAGTGAGTGAGTGTGTGTGTGTGTGTGAGTGTGTGTGTGTGTAAGAAGCAGTGGTGGGAGTAACTCGGTTAAAAATTCAGGACCGGCAGCAGAGTTGGGAACGAGGGTTGAATTATAGATATCTTTTCTGCGGAAAGAAGATTAAAGGAGAGATTTTCTTTCTTGTTTTGTTTTTCTTTCTGGCTGTTAGTTTTAAGTAGGTCATCGCAACCTCTGGTGGTTGGAAATCGCTGGGCGAGGGGGAGTGGGGCTGGAGGAGCGCCGTCCTGCAGCTCTCCTCTCCCCGCACCCTTTCCTCGTTCCTCGCGTGTGATTTAAGGGGCCAACTGCTATGTGGCCCCCGTGACTTTCACATATATTTGCCTGTAACAATAAATCCCAGGAGTGTTAACAATTAATTCGTACAAATACATTGGAGACTAATTACTCTTTCTTTCCCTCCTGTTTGCTGCAGAGCCAACATTGCCTTCCAGGATCTGCTCGTCAGCACCTCTGCTCTATTTCCTCGTCATCTGCCCCTTCGTGATGCTCTTTCTTCTGCTCATTTCCCTCCTCTGCTTATGCTGGAAGTCCAGGAAGTTATCCACGCTGAGTCTAAACGCGCAGAAAGAAAAGGCCCTCTGGGTGGGCTTGAAAGGGGCTGGAGGCAGGACCACAAACAGGACGGAAGAGGATGATGAAGACAGTTGAATCCCCAGAGGCACCTGCAGCCCTTTGGAAAGAGTGCGGGCTTTGGAACTGGCCTGACCAGGATATGAGTGGCCCCCTGGTTCTGTCCTGTGTCTGGCCTGGGGCAAGTTCCCGAGGACTCAGAGGGAACATTCGTTGAGCGCGTATGTAGTGCCGGGCACCGTTAAAGTGTTTCTTCCTGTGTCACCTCTTCTACCCCTCGCACCCCCCCAGGAGCCAGGTGGC